TTTTGTGAATCTGCCAAGTTGGAGTCCTTTCGTTTTTCCATGCAGGTTGTGGAACCATTCCCTTTGTCCAGCAAAACTGGCTGTATTTCCCAGCAAAAGCTGGCTGTAACCTTTCTCCTCAGCAAAGCTGTTTCTTCAACCTCAGCATAGCTGACTGTATTTCCCCAGGGAAGCTGTGCGAAATGAAGCTTTTAACAGGTAGGGAGAGAAAAGAGCCGCACGTCCTTCTGTAAGGCTTTCAACCGTAGAACTGAACTGAAAGTCCCCTTTTCCCTCCAAAACCTGGGGAAAGGGGCGGATCTAAAGGCTCTAATTATGATTGATATGTTGTTGGCCCTATGATTGCAACCTGGGGAAAGCTACCCAATTGCAAAAAGCTTTAATAGATTCATGCAAACAAAGAGTGCAAGAAAAGAAATTGAAATCTTCTGGCACAGCTGTGCCAGCACATTTATGATGATTGAAAGTTTTTCTCTATCGCATAATATTAGAATGGACGCTCCATTGAAACCAAAGAATAAAGTACCCAGAACAGGCAGTAGGAAGTACAATGCATATTTGAGATTTTGGAGGTAGATCCTTTATGAAAGCGATCCTTTCCTATTGCTCTTCACTAGTGTTCTGATAGAATATAAGCTTCATAACCACAAGCCAAAGAAAGTTGTTTGTCCATCATCATTTAAAGCTGTCCAGGTTGGTGGACATCATTCTGTTTTATGGTAGCACAACCCAAAGTTTAGCCATATGCAGAAGTACTTCATTTTGTATACCTTGAATGTCTCACAATTCAGCTTCACAGGTGACCATGAGCTGTACTATAAGAGAGGAAGAAAATGTTTATGTGCCATTAATAGGCCTGAGTCCTATTGGTAGTGCTGACTATGGTGAATACAATGAATTAATGGAATTTATGTGTTTATGCCATTTCATAGTTGGTTCTTTAGATTCTGTTAAAATCATGCTATCATTTTATTTACTTTCAAGATTAAATCTGAGTGTATGAATGCTTCGTGGGAATTTCTGAAGAATTTTTTGGTTCACAATACATGAGACATCGTTATATATTTTACCTTACCAGATATTGTCTACTTTCCAAGAGGTCATCTGCACTGCAGAATGAATGCAATTCAACACCAGTTAAACTGCCACGATGAACACTATGAATCCTGGAAGTTGTAGTTTGGTGAGGCAGTAGCCCTCTTTGGCAGAGAAAACTAAAGGCCTTTTAAAACTACAAACCCCGGGATTTCATAGCATTGAGCTGTGACTAACTGGTGTCAGACATGAAGAGGTGTCAGACATGAAGGAAATAAAATGCGCTGGGGTGGGGGGATGGATCCAGACCCAGATCAGCGGAAAATACTGGGGAGAGAATCAAGTAAGGAACAAAGGAAAAAGGAATGGGGAGGGATACAGACATGCTTTGGTTCAACGCTAAGATTTTGTGGCAGGGAGGGAAGAAACCCATTCATAACTATGAGTTGTAGGTAAATTGGATGTTCGTAACTAAGGAACTTGCCTGTATTTTAATCCTAATAGTTGCAGTGAGCCAAATGACCCAACAATAACATCAATCTTTCTGTTTGTTGCTACTAAAAGTCATTGAACCTCTGTATCTGAATTTCCAAGCGTCCCTTTAGTTAAAATCAAGTGACTGAAAATGTATTACAAATTTGCTCTCACAAAGTTGCCTCCTTTCTTTGCAATTTCTTCAACACTGCACTAAGTATTTCCTGCAAAACTGGCACATCCATTGTTGGCCAGATTGTTCCACTTATCAGGAAGAAACCCCTCAAAATGGCAAAGAGCAGTTGGAAGTAATTCAACAATTGTATGAAAGACAGGAATATCAAAGTGTTAAGAAAAATGATAAGGTTAGATCTTTTTAAATCCACAGACAGAATGGCCTGACTTTTATATTGAGTTCAGAGGATCCTGGAAGGTATATAAGTAAAGGTAAAGGTTTCCCCTGACATTAAGTCTAGTCATGTCTGACTCTGGGGGGTGGTGCTCATCTCCATTTCTAAGTCAAAGAGCCAGCGTTGTCCATAGACACCTCCAAGGTCATGTGGCCAGCATGACTGCTTGGAGTGCCGTTACCTTCCCGCAGAAGCGGTTCCTATAATAACTTGTATTTCATATATGAAAGAGATGGTTTGAGGAAAGGGGGCATTCCATTATCTGTTAAGCAGCATTTTGATTTGAGGTAGCAAAGTTTTCCATGTGATGCTGTGATCCAGTAAAGCATGATTTAGATTTCTTTGACAACAGATCCCCTTGGATGGTATTGTAGCAGAATTGTGGATTTTTAAATAATAGATTAGCCACCTAGGGTGCTGATCATGTCAATCAAAGATTCTTCCATGCTGTTCAATGAATGAACAGCCAAACTGTTGTGGGATGTAGGCAGTTGGATTAGAGCTGATGAAGTCTTCTCCAGTTTGGGAATGAAAACTCACAAAAGGTCATTTCTAGACACCCCCGAAATTGTAAAAATTATATAGTTAGCCCTCTTTATCCACAGATTCTGCATCCATGTATGTATTCACCATTTTATATAAGGGACACTACCTTACTAATCATTATATGTAATAGGACTTGAGCACCCATTTTTGCTATCCACAGTGTGTTCTGGAACCAAATTTCAGGGGATACCCTATATTTAAAATATCAAACAGCTGCATGATCACTGCTCTTTGTTTTAGATTTTCTTTAGTGTGGGAAGTCTCTGGGGCCATGCTGCTTGAGATTCTCATAAAATGTATTGTCACCTCTTGTATGGTATATAGGTCAGCTTCATTTTCTAAATGGTATTCAGGATACTTAGAGCAGTGGGATGCAAGGGAAGCTTGTTACAAAGAACTAGATTGAAATTTGGTCAGTTTGAAATAGGGTGCAATGGACAGAGTTGTATGGGATCCATGCTTACCATGGAAATCAGTATCATGAGAATCTTTTAAGTTTTCCTGTTTTTGGAGTCTTTTGTGGCCTAGAAATAGGTTTGAAAATATATGAAAACTGCCAGTGTGGGAGCTGTGAACAAGCTTTCTAGGGCAGTGTTCTATTGATGCTCATTCTTTCTTCCAAATAACAAAACAGAATAAGTGATGCAAAATAATTTACATGTTAATGTGCGTTTTATAGAGAATTACATAGAATTTTGATCAACCTGAGTCAGAATTTTGATTGTTCACTTTTTGGACATATTGATCATACCTTTTGCATCTTCTTCATATAGTATTTACCATATGACAGGAAATAAATCCTAGCTACCTTACATAAAAAATAATTTCTCATGGTAGTTGTCTGTACATGGTGTTGAGATCTTGGATTGCCTGGACCTTGTTCTTTTTCCAGCAAGGTGCTGTTTATGTTCACCAGGAACTCTTTCTACAGTACACAAATTAGTGGTGTAATTGCAAAGAATTTTGGGGCTCCCCTGTCATTGTTAAACCAAAACACAAGAAAATAGAGCGTGCAGATCAGCCTGTGCCTATTTTACCAAATGCTTGCATCATACATTGTTAAGGCTTCCAAACAATTTGACTCATTGTGTCCTTTGTTCTTTGTTCATAGTTAATCATCACTTGCTTATAATGTGTTGCCTTTTTTTAATACAGTGCATGCCCATATTGCTCTGTCCTTAGCATAAACAGTATTACATTCTCTCACATGTTGTCATGGTCAGTTTTACTTTAAAAATCAGGTTAAAATGGGCTCTCTTGTGGCACACAACCCAGTGCTATGTGTCTAAACTAATCTGTCTACAGCAGCTGAAACGGGAAACAAAAAATCCATCACAAAGTCTTTGTATTTTCAGCAATCTATTGCTTTCAAAGCTAGATTACATCAAGAAGCAGGCATTGAAATAATGGGCCTTAATTGATGCCTGTTCCCAGTAAAAAATGTGTAGACTTCCATGGCATACCATACAGTCTGCTCAGCAACAAAGCAAAGGTGCACACTGTATTCTGTATAAATTGAATGTGTCTCTTTAGCACATGCCTCCAGATCCCTCAGGGATAGGCAGGTATGTGGGCTTTTCTTAGCAAATAAGCCAACATGGGAAATATAGAAAATAGGGGAAGCCTTATGGAAGGACAAGCCTGTCAAGTCCCCAGTATTAGGCATACAATAATGCCTGACATAAGGAGATCAGATGTACTTTTGGCATAAAATCTCTACAAAATGGTTTAAAAGGCAAATGAGAAAGAACTCTCAAACCCTTCTAGTAATTTATTTTATATATATATATATATATATATATATATATATATATATATATATATATATATGAATGAGAGAATGAAGAGGCAACATTGTTGCAATTTTAATGAGAAATGATCTCATATGTTTACTTTTGAGTACATATTTTAGGAACATCCAAAAGGGTGAAAAGGTGTGGTGGTTCTTTGTAGATGAATTGCTTTGCATTTTGAGATGGGAACATTGATAGTCTTCTCAAGCATCTGAGGTTACAAATATACTGAAGCCAGAGTGTGAAAGTAGCACAACAAAGATTTCAAGTTCCTTTGAAATCAGTGAAATAAACAGGGCTAATTTTGTCTGGTTTGCAACTTTGGTCAATAAGAAGCAACGGTACACTTTGGAATGTTATGAACTGTGTCAGATGCATTGAGATTTAAAGGACCTCCTTTCTTGGATTAGTTTGGGTGCATTTTTCAGAGGATCACACAATTCATTACTTTAAAAGCAAATTGGAGAATGTAGGGCAATGAGTGGTGCTTGCCTTACTTTCTAGAGGTCACTTTTATAACATCGCCATGCTAAACTGCTTTAATGACAGTTTTATGGTGTATAACTTTTAGCCCTCAATTTTGACAAATCTGATGTATGGTGAGAGGCAAGGAGTGTGCTGAACATGAGCGAGATTTATTTCTCGTTGTTTTTGAAGACAGAAAATAGCTGGGTGCAGTCTTTCAGGAAGAGGAAGACTTTTCTTCACATCTTGGATTAATGCTCTCGTTTCTTTTATCCAGACAAAGCCACCAACCCGCTGAACAGACAAGAAGACTGGGAATATATCATTGGCTTCTGTGATCAGATCAACAAAGAACTTGAAGGGTGTGTGTCAAAAACATAAAGCTGCATCATTATATATATATATATATATATAAAGCAGTTTTATAGAATTGCTGTTTTTATGCTTCATTTAATGTGTTTTATGTGACAGTTCAACATTCAGTGATTTGATATGTAATACTTGAGTTTTATAAATCTTGATACGTGCTGCTCTTCCAGACCCTTTCAAGGCATGTACAATGTTCAGGCTTTTTTATAGCTGTAACAATGCAGCCAGTTAACATAGGTATGGCTCAGTATAGGGCCAAGTTTCAGCAAGATGTATCTTGTAAACTTAATTTCTTGTTTTAAGTGCTTTTGGAATATGAAGACTGTTAATTCATCAGTTCAGGTATCCATCTGCAAAACAGACATCATTGCCATGCCTGTAGACTTTAATATTTATACAGAGCTTTTGTGTTTCTAAAACAATTTGCAGATATTCATAACAAACCGCCATGAATAATAATAATAATGATAATAATGATAATAATAATAACTTTATTCTTCAACTTCACCACCATCTCCCCGAATAGACTCAGGGTGGCTTACATATGGAACAAAATGTCCACAAGACATAAAAGCAAAAACAATCCATAAAACAAAACACATTAAAATAGCAACACCATAAAATACATAACACTTCTGTGAAACTGGGGAGTATTATCACTCCCACCTAGACGAAATGGAAGGGCAAGAAAATTACAGTCTACTCAGGACTACACTGTAAACTTTGGTGTGCTCCCAGTAAACTGCCAGTTCTCTGTTTGATATGCTAGAATAATGGTGAGGACAGGACAGTTAAATATTGATAAAGGGATTTCAGGTTATAGGTATGGCACTTGTTCCCCCCCCCCCTTTTATTTCACCCTTTTATGTGCTTCATTCTTGATTTATAAAATTAAACAGAAGGATGTGCAACTGACACTCCATATATACCTTCATTCGGGGCCCTCATAAACTCTTGGAAGTTTCCAAAGCAAATTTGTAAGCTGTCCATTTGTAGGTACAATCTTGAAAACGTTGCCACTTCATATGCAGTTACTACTTCATGTGAAAATGAGGCCTTGGATCGCACCCAGTAGCTCTACTACAGGCCTCTTCAAACTGTAGCCCTCTAGGTTTTTGTGCCTCCAGCTCCCATAATCCCTCATGAACTTGTTTAATGATCAGGAATTCTGGGAGCTGAAGTCCAAAACACTTGGAGAGCTGCAGGTTGAAGAGTCCTGTCCCTACAGCAGGAAACTGCAGTGATCACGTTGTTTTCTCTGTCTTCCCCTACTTATTTCCATTTCCTTCCTCTTCCACTGCTGCCTCCTTCATTCCAGAATTAGACTGTAAGCAGGGATGGCAATGGTCTCCTTTTCGTTGTAAACTTAATTTGCATGGCTAATGCTATCTGAATAAATAAATACTCTCTCTCTTTTAGTCCACAGATAGCTGTGAGGCTACTGGCTCATAAAATCCAATCTCCACAGGAATGGGAGGCAGTCCAGGCCTTGACAGTAGGTGCTCCTTATCTCACTTCTACATTCTGTGTTTAAATACAAACGTAATGTTTTCGCCAAGTACAAATCCAATGATTGAGTCTTCTTTTGATTAAAGGAGATAGGTATGATTTTTGAAGTGGTTGCTGGGCACCTGGCAAAATTTAGATTAGATGACCTTTGGTTCCTCCTGCTCTTAGTCTGTAATGCAAGATAAAATGAGAATAGGTGATTCACATTGTTTAAAGGATATTCTGGTTGTATAAATCCTGAGTCTATGTTCCCAAAACAAATAGTGTTCATGACTTATGATTCCTTCCATATGTAACAGTTCAGTGGGACCATCACTGTTTCATGCTCCTCCCTACACATAGTTATCAGCATAGAAACCTTTTTTCCTCCTTTGTTCCTATTGAATGATGAATGTTTACAGTATCAGAGAGAAGTTGCTGGGAGAATAGGTCTGATTTGCAGAGAGCTTCATCTTAGTGTTTTGTTTAGACCATACTTTAAAAAAAACATGTATAACTTGTGTCTCCATTATGTGAGGTAACACATTGAGATAGACCAGAAAAATCGATTTATGTCTTGTTTATTTGTTTGCTTGACTGCAGGTATTAGAAGCTTGTATGAAAAACTGTGGCCGAAGATTTCATAATGAAGTGGGGAAGTTTAGGTTTTTAAATGAGCTGATCAAAGTTGTGTCTCCCAAGGTTAGTATGAAGTTTATTTTTCTCACACGTTCCTTTGTGTGTGGCTTCCTTGGATCCATAAAATATTACTGTTGACAAGTAAATAAGTAACTGAACAAAAAACTAAAACTTGAGGAAAAAAAGTACCTTACTCTGTCTGGATATCTGTTTGCATAGCCAGAGGATAATGTGTAGTCCTTTAGCCAGCTAGCTGTAGTGGTTTGAATGCTGAATATGACATTGGGAGACCTGGGTTTGAATCCATATTCATCCATGAAATCCACTGAGTGACAGTAAACAAATCATACCCTCTCCGCTTAAGAAGAAGGCACTGAATATAAATATTTCCAAGGAAATTCTAGGATAATATTATTTTATCATACTCCATATTATACCCCAAAGACATTATTCAGCAGTAAAGATAGTTCATGGATGAGTGGAGGCCAGACCGTCTTGACAAAGTAGTCAGGGGCACGAGTTGGTTCATGTAATTTTAATGCTTTTATTAGGTGTTTTATTTCATATATTTCATGCTTTAAATGTCCTTTTATCTTACCTTATTGTGAATTGTCCTATTGATTTTATGCCTAGTTATATGTTGTTGGTTTGAGTTTTGGTTTATGTATGTAAAGAATTGAATTCTGCTGTTATTTTTATGTAAACCGCTTTGAGTCCCCCCAGGAGTGAGAAAAGCGATATAAATACTGTAAATAAATAAATAAATAAAAATACTCTATTTCTGTCCTGCCCTTTTTCACCCTTGCGGGGACCCAGAGCAGTGTACATAATGCAATATGGATGCCATAAATCAGAATTGACTTGAAGGCACACAACGAAAACAGTGTCCAAGATGTTAATTAGATAAGCATGCTATATAGTTAGACAAGGATATCATATAGTTACGAGTTATACAAAGAAGATACATTGTATTCAGAGTAGCAAGGAATTTTACTCCACAGTTCTGTGCACTTTGACCTGGGAGTAATTCTCATTAAGCTCAATAAAACTTACATCTAAGTAGACATGCATAGGATTGCAGTGCCAAATAACAATTGTTCAGATACTGTTAAATATTTCATTCTATTTTGGATAAATGGAGATGGCAGGTGTCAAAATATTTTTGAAATTGCGGACTTCTTACAGTCTTGGAGGCCATCCTTGGAAAATAGATTTGTATCTTGAATTTTTTTGATGAACATAGCAATGAGTGTTCCTGTCTTATATCAGCAAAACTAAATCCTGTAGCAGAGTTTACACACAGCTCAGCACCCAGTGGCTCAGAAGAAATCATTTTATTTGAGGCCTGTGAAATGTAAATATTTTCACTTGTTGGTTATTCTTGCAGTACCTGGGAGACAGAGTGTCAGAGAAGGTCAAAACCAAAATAATTGAGCTCCTCTACAGCTGGACAGTGGCTTTGCCTGATGAATCCAAAATCAAAGATGCCTATTACATGTTGAAAAGACAAGGTGGGAAACAGTTCCCTGTTCTGTCTTTCCTTATCCTTCCTTGTTGGTAGCTAGGACTTTTGTCATATGGTGGCATCAGAGGCCTGAAGGAGAAGACTAGTTCAGCCTTTCTGCAGAAGCTTTACTGTATAGAGGTCAGAATGGTGATGATACAGGTCTGACTTCACGATTAATTGATAATTCATATATTGACTGCTAATTTATCTTAGCTGCTCAGTTGGGTCACATGAAATTAAATTCAAGCAATTAGTAGAATTGAAGGCAGTCATGCAGACTAATTGATAAGGATTGATTAGATTCTGAGAGGAAGGATATCTAAAGAGAAGAACTTACCCAACATAATATCTGGAGTTCATTCCACATAATAAAAATATAACTTCTCTGAAAATGAGCTGATTGCTGCTGTTTGGAATCAAGTTTTAAGAACAATGTCAAGTTTTTAGGATGGCAAGAGGTTGTAGTCTTTATCAGCTTCTTCATGAACAAGTATAATAAGAGCAATATAAGTATGTTGAACACTGTAGATCAGATTAGAACCCATTTTGAGGAATATTATTATTATTACTTCAGAGAACTTGTTGGGAATTAAGAGATACCAGTTCATTGTAAAATGACCAGACAGCTTGTATGTTTAAAAGATTACATTTTTTTCTGCTTCAGGCATCGTTTTGTCTGACCCTGCAATTCCTATGGAGAGAACGCTAATCCCTTCTCCTCCGTCCCGTCCGAAAAACCCTGTGTTTGATGATGAGGAGAAATCCAAGGTAAAATAGAAGCTAGAACTTAGAATAACAATCAACTGCCAGGCCATGTTGTGTTGCCTTAGAGCAGCGGTCGGGAACCTATGGCTCTCCAGGTGTGGTGGACTTCAACTCCCACAATGCCTTGAGGCTCGGCACTAGCGTGCGGGGCCGAAGCGGCGAGGAGACGCGTTGCCCGCAGGGGTTTCCGCCCGCTCTCTCCGTCCGAGGCCAGCCTTTGCTGCCCGTCCTCCATGAAAAAGAGCCAAGGCTTCCACTTTGTAGCCAAGGCTCTTTTTCATGGAGGACGGGCAGCAAAGGCTGGCCTCGGACGGAGAGAGCGGGCGGAAACCCCTGCGGGCAACGCGCCTCCTCGCCGCTTCGGCCCCGCACGCTAGTGCCGAGCCTCAAGGCATTGTGGGAGTTGAAGTCCACCACACCTGGAGAGCCAAAGGTTCCCGACCGCTGCCTTAGAGGATAGTAAAGTTCATGTTTGCTTCATGGTAGAATTAATGCTGCTGCCCGGTTGTCATTGTACTTCAACTCCCAACATTCCTCACCATTGGCTGTGCTGGCTATGGCTGCTGGGAAATGCAGTTTAACAGCATTTGTCTAGTACTTTTCCTTCCCAAATGTTCAGTCGATTACAGTTTTTAAATGTTAAAGGTTTTTCAAGTAGTTCCTTTTTTCTTAAGTACTATAGTATGGCAACTTGGATTTCAAAACTTAAATGGTTATGCATTTTCCAAAGTGCATTATATTTCTTCCAAATTCATTTTTGTATCTTTTAAATTGGGATGTACAGCTGAAGAGCTAATTTCCTCCCTGGCACTGTGGACTTTATCTCTCCCCACATTGCAGCCCTTAAAGCAAACAGGAAATGCCTTTTTGAAGGGTTTTAATGGCACATTTTGGGGACTAAGTGTGGGTGGGTATTGATCACCCCTTCTATAAGTGAAGAGTGGGACTTTTGTGAAGCTCTCACAAACACTTGCCTCATTTGGGAGAACTATTCACTTCGTTCACTTGTCTTTACTGTTTGCTGAAAACAACATTTTACAAAACCAGAAAGATTAATTAGTGTTTGAACACTTTTAAAAACAATTTTTCTACATTTTTATTTTTGCAGCTTTTAGCTAAACTGTTAAAAAGCAAAAATCCAGATGATTTACAAGAAGCAAACAAACTTATTAAATCAATGGTGAAAGAGGTGAGTCTGAGCACTTAATGATATATTAGTAGAGAAGTGTCTTATCTTGGAAGCTAAATAGGATTGGGCCTGGATAATGCTTGGATGGGAAACTGGCAATGAATAACAGGCATTGTAGGCTGTATTTCAGAGATAGGAGCTGGCAAAGCCACTTTAAGAAAATCCCATGTAATTCATAGGGTCACCATAAATGACAGCGGTTTGGAGGGGCGTACATATATGAGATTATTGTTTGTGGTTTATTTTGTAGTTTGAAGCATTTTCTTTGTTTCTTAACTCCTCTTTTTAAAAGGCTGTTTGAATGGTTTTATCTTTAATAGTTCAAGATGAGTGAGACAGATAAGTAAGACTACAAACCTACACAGACTTATCTAAATATAGATAATGCTTGAACTTACATTTTACTTGTTTGATGTCAGGAACCTGATAGATGTTCACTGGTTGTAAATATAGGGTGTCACCCTCAAAATATACAGTATATGCCCAAATGTAGAGAAATGTCACAGAATTGCAAGATAAACTTTAAATGAAGCCTACAGCTCTGTGCTTTGACTTACAAGCAGTGTATTCCCAGGCAGGAATTGTTTGAACACTTTACGTATAATTGTCATTTTGATTGGAATTTATAATTCTGATTACGTTACCATGTATTTACTTAGCTCTCAGAACAATCACAATAGCTAGTATTAGTTGTTAAAAGTTGTGTACATTTTGAGGGACCCCATATATGCTTCTGAGGTCTTCAGGTTAGCCACTCCTGAGTTGAGATGAGAGAACAAGAGAGTCACTTTATCCTTGTTGCTTCTAAACTTGAAGGATGAGGCACGGATACAGAAAGTAACAAAGCGAATGCACACCTTGGAGGAGGTAAACAACAATGTGAAACTGTTGAATGAGATGTTGGTTCACTACAGCAAAGAAGATTCCTCGGAGGCTGACAAAGAACTTATGAAGGTGGGCATGAGTTTTGTTTTTAGAAGATATGTACTATTTGTTATGATCTGATTTTTAACTTTTGACTTCAACCTTGGAAGCAAAAACATTAAATATACCCATTTTCCATGTAAAAATAGCTCTCTCCACCATCCACTGCATAACACATCAGGAATATCCAGTTTTTTATGAATGAGTAAAATGAAGACATTTCTTACCATAAGAGATGTTCAGCACTTGATCTCTCTGCCTCAGAGTGTGGTAGAGACTTCTCTGGAGGCTTTTAAACAGAGACTGGATGGCCATCTGTTGGGAGTGCTTTGATTCTGCTTTTTCTGCATGGCAGGGGGTTGGACGGAATGACCCATGGGTTCTCTTCCAACTCTTATGATTCTATGAAGCTAAAGCATAAAGGACCGCATGTATTTTTGACTTATTATTTTCTCCTGTCTTTTATCCCTTCAGGAGCTCTATGACAGATGTGAAACCAAGAGGCGGACTTTATTTAAACTGGCCAGTGAGACGGAGGATAACGACAGCACCCTCGGTAAACAGAAACTTGTTCTTTGCAGGGCCAGAGGTGGTTCTAGCCATGCTGGTTTTAATGGTTGTAGTAATGGTCGAGGCCAGGTTTTCAGAGTTATTAGCAGTCTCAGAGGACTAGGGGCAGAATTGTTGATCAGCCTGAGGCTGATGGGTTAACTGATGTTTTAGAAAGGATTGTGGGATTGCCTGTGGGATTTCCAGGGGCACAAAGTGATGAAGATTTAAATCAAGGAAATGATGTTTCCTCCACTGAGAAAGTTGACTGGGAAAGTGCAGGCTTTCAGGGTCAGGCAAAACAGTCAGAGACATTAGATAAGGAGGAGTTGAGCAGAGAATTAAGTTATGCAGAAGGCTCAGAAATCAACACTGGCCTTCGTTTATGGATCAAAACAGACAATAGGCATCACAGGGCAGAGCGTTTGTGTGAGAAAGTTGGGGAGAGATTTCAGGAGAGATTAAATTCTTTCATGAGTGGCTTTTAATTGGCAAGTTGTTTACTTTAAAGTTTGTTTAGGCAATGTAGCGTTTGGAGTAAAAAGTTAGGTCCGAGTTGCTGGTTTATGTTTCAAGTCAAGCCTTTTGGTTTTGGGATTTAAGGACATTGGAAGTTTCATTGTTCCTGTTTTTGTATTCATGATCAAGTTTTACTTTTTTACTTTTTACTTGTGGACTTAAGCTGTTCTTCTGATTTTTGACTATTCCTGGACTGTATTACCTTTGAATCTGATTGAGACATTTGGATTCCTGTTGGATTATTACTTACGGCTAAACCTTTTTGGATATACCTATTCCTGAATTTTTCCTACACTTTTGATATGTTTTACAATAAACTGTTTGCTTATATTCTGGACTCTTGTGTGGTGCTGTGAGAGTCCAGAATAGGGGTTTCCAGGCCTGGGGTGCAACACTATGTCCTCCCAAAATGAAATCTGTATTCCATAGTCACCTGAGTACTTAATGTGCTAGTTATGTCTAAGGATTCAGTGACCACAGCACAACATTGCTAAGGAGATGTATCCTTCCTAGCCATTTGTTGCTCATTGGGTTCTGTGGGTGTTTTAAGATTCTTTTAAAAATCTTTAGTTGAAGAATAGATTCTAACACTCAAGTCACTGCTAGGAATACTATGGTCTTCCAGATGTTGCCAATGACAGTGGTTGAATCAATTTTATCATTGTCCTACATGGAGGAGGCATTACTGAAAGTGGAGTTGTTTACATTTGTAGTGTGGTCTTTTGTTTCTTACAGGAGAAATCCTACAAGCCAGTGACAACTTATCACGGGTAATAAATTCCTATAAAAGAATTATTGAGGGGCAAGTCATCAATGGTGAAGTGGATATTTCTGTCCTTCCTACAACAGACAGTGAGTCACATTTTCCACCCGCATCTGGTCCCTGTGTTAAAAATCATGTGTCCAGCTTTTACGCAATATGAAAACTTTGTGCCATTTCTAATGGATAGAGTACTTTATACTTGTTTGATAGTTTAAAGGCAAAAGATGTACATCAGAGTATTTCAGCACAGGTCTTTCATATCACACATTTTGCCCTTTGCCAGTGTGTTTGGAAAACATGAGATATCATGAAAGTGATTTTTTGGGGAGTTTCTAAGTTGTTTTTTTTTAAAACAGTGTTGCTGTGATTTGTGTATTAACCCAATTTTGAAGTGTGTTGGTACATATGGGTGCATTTGGCAAAGAGTTACAATGAGTTTAATTTCCCCAGTGTAGGAATCAAGAGAGTGTTTTCTTTAATGTTTGGAAGATAAGGATGCGCCTTCTCTCTTTGCTGAAGAAATCTGCTCTTCCATGCTTTCAACAAAAAGCGCTGCTTGTCTGTCTCAAGAGCTGTCTGGTGCAAATGCATCCTTTGTTCACTTGTTTCTTTCTTCCCATTCTCTGTTGTGTCCATTTTTAGATATTAGGTCACTGAGGACCGCAGCCTAACAATATTTATAATGTACCAAATACAGTGCATGGTTTTGGGAAAAAATACATATTAGTAATCATATGCCTTTCCCTAGTGCAGTTGTTGCTTAAACAGCAACCAAAAGACTTGTTTGTACCTGGGCATTGCTTAATGGTGGAACTTCTTAAAAATTGAGTTAAGGTGTCCACTTTTCAGAGTCTTAGCTTGCTGGAATAAGACACTGGTGTGCGTTCTCACAGAAACATGAAGAACTAGGATTTTTGTTTACATCACTTTCTAACAGACTAGCACCCTAAAAACTGGAGAATGTGTGTTCTGTTTGACAACAAAGCCATAATTTATTTTTCACATTTAATGTTTAGAACCATTACCCCTCTTTCTGATTGGAACCCTGAAACTCTGCTCCGGTTTCCTGCATCTCTTGTCATTTTCTTTCTTGTCTCCTTACAGGAAGTGATACGACCAATAACATCAATACACTTATTGACTTGGTGGGTTTGGACATTTCTAGTACTCCACCACCACCACCGCCACCACCAATGCCTCCTGCCACCCTGACGCCAGCACCAGCTCTAACGCCCGCTCCGGCCTCCTCAGATATCCCCATCCTCCCACCCCCTCCCCAGACAGTGGGTCACTCCCGGAGTCGTTCATCCAGCCAGGCTGAAGCCACTGCTGCTCAGTTGGACAGTGCGGCCCATTCCCTCTCCTTGCTGGATGAGGAACTGCTGTGCTTAGGTAAGGCAGGAGCATTTCGGAGGTGCTTAATGTGGACATTATTGATAGAATCGGTTGCAGTGACTTCTGTGCTGTGGCCCTCCAGTATTGCTTTGTTCCCCAGACCAAAAATCAAAGGTCTCTCTGAGTTTACTGGACTGGATCATTACTGACATTGATAGAAGGTGGTTTATGCAACCTTACCTCTTCTGGATGGGGTAGTACAAAGGAAAGATGAGATATTTTTAGCTCAAGAACCATGTCTTGTGAGTGTGAAAGATCTCCTACCATAGCCGATTAGCTAGTAACCTTGTATTTGTTTTTAAAGCTTTTCTCTTGCAGCATATCGTAGCATTTGTTGTTTAAATGGGCTGGGTCTGATAAAACTATATATGGGGAACAGTATCTCCAGTAAGTGGCATTATCTTTGGTTGTTGCATGATAAATGTCATCTAAATAATAAGTCTGCCTGCATTTGGGGAGCAGGAAAAATGCATATATGAATTGGCCTGATGTGTGCCTTCTTTCAAGTTTCCAAAAGATCGTAATATTGAAGGTGCAGCAACTTCAGTTGCAGAGAGGGGGAAGGTTAACATTATTTTCCACAGAAAGCTTCCTTAGGAGCACACTTGAAAAGAATGATTTGCCCAAGGTCACTCAGTGTGAAGCATGCATGGTTCAATGTGAGTTTATAGTCAGCTTCTTGCAGTTTCAGCACAAATGTTGAAGGATGTTCTTTCATACGCTCAGCTATAGGTTTACTCCTGCTAAAATGTTTTGTATTTCTCTTCTTTCAATTCCATATTATCATCTCTCATACTTAGGCTTAAATGACCCACCACCTATTCCAGCAAAAGAATTGACAGAAAATAGCCAATGGAACTTGTTCCAGGTACTTCGCTTGTTGCTGTAGGGCTGATTTTGTAACCAAGATGCTACCATTCAGGAAGGTCTTTGGACCTGGGGATGCTTTATTTACATGGGATTTTGTGAGGTGAGCTTTGCTTCCATGTTCTGGCTTAAGCTGTTATGACAAAGGAAAGGATAAACACCAGCCTTCCTTTCCCATTTGATACAGATCAGCTCTATCCTCTGGGTATTATATCTGAAATGTAAGGGAAAATAGCTGGCCTGGAATAAGGTTCTTCATTTTAGAATCAGCCCTTTTGAGTTCTCATTTTTTTAGAGTAGCCCTGATCACATATAATGTTACCATTGTTATTCACCATCAGTTTTGCTCTGACCTATGGTGACTCCACAATTAAGAGACCCCCAGGAGACCACATTTATTAACAGCCCAATTCAGGTATATGAACCCCGAATTGTTGTCTTCTTTGAATTAATTATCTGTTTGTAATGCAGGCTTCCTTCTTTCATACTGCGTTCCACTTTACCAAGCATTGCCCCCCCCCCCCCCAGCTAGTCATATTTTCTCATGGTATGTCCAAAGTACAATAGCCTCAGTATATTATTTATTTATTTATTTATTTATGAAATTTATACCCCGCCTTTCTCCAGTCAAGGCCCCCAGGCAGCTTACAGCCGGCACAAACATGCAATATATTTTAATGATTTATATAGGATTTTAGTGATGTATTTTATATTGTATTAAATAATAATGGTTTTCATGAATTTGTTTGACTGATATGTGAAAGACCTATGGTCTAAGCATTGAATAAACTTGCAAACATACAATATAAATTTAAAACAAGTTAAAACCATAAATATTAGCAAATGCTGTGAAACACTAATTAAAACCCCAATAAAACACATTAAAAACCACCCTGATAATATGTAACAAAGTGTTAAAGTGCAATTTGCTCTTGGGCCTATTTATTGATGTCTTTCGTGGTCCAGAAAATCTGCCAAACCCTTCTCCAGTTGCACAGCGCCGTAGAGAAACATAATGGGTCGAAAATTAAATACTTCTTAGTGTTAAAGACCAGCATTTTATTTTCTTTGTCTTGTTTCAGAATGAGCCTGTAGATCTGGACTTCTTGAATCCACAGCCAGTTTCTGTTGCCTGCAACTCTGCTGCAAACCCTCTTCATCTTTCTGCATCACAACCCATGTGTGCAACTTCAGCACCTCTTGCTTCCACATTCACGGCTCCGCCACCTGTTTCCAGTGTCCCTGTCCTGACCTCAGCCCCTTTCATATTCTCAGCTGGACTGCCTTTGGGCCCTTCTAGTACGGTGCCAGCTGCCCCTGGGTACCCTGGCTCTGCTTTGGGAAGCAATGGTCTGCACAAGATGGACCCCTTAGGACACCTTCTGGATGAAAGCAAAGGGTAAGAGAATTTGATTGCTTTCTCTGCTTGCTAACTGTGGCTGCTATATACCCCCCCCACACACACACACACTTTGTCTCTTATGATAAAAACAGAAAATGAAGGAGTTTCCATTACATTGTGTAGTATTGAGGCTTTTACTAAAATGTTAAGTCATTAGAGCGATTGATACTAGACTTTTAAAAAAGTGTTATTCTTGAAATGAAGAGGTGGTTCTGGGCACGATTAGACCACCCTCCATCTTCCAAAAGATACAATATAAAAAAGCAAAATGTAATATTTGACAAGGGTGCAAAAACAAGGAGGTCACCATGGTGTAATTGTTTGAGTGCTGGACTTGGACTCAGATCTCCAGTCACTGGGTGACCTTGGGCAAGTCACACTCTCTCAACCCCAGATGGAAGCAATTTCAAACCCACTCTGGACAATTTTTTGCCAAATAAATCCTGTCATAGTGTTGCCTTTGATTGCAAAAGGTTTGAAAAGACTTGAAGGTTAACAATAGCAACAAATGCAATAGACATAAAAATGATTTAAGTATCAGATAATAGCTTTAAATGTTAAAATGCCTGAGCAGATTTTGATTTGGGTATGAGGCTAGGTTTACTTTTTTTATGCCTGTGGTTTTGTTCTCCATCCTATTGTAGGACTTCTGTTCATGGCAATATAGGAGCCTCTGTGTTCCATGCAGGAGTTGTGTTGCCAGCTGCCACATCTGCACCTTTGGGAACCACAGCAGGATTTCCAGGCACTGCCCCGGGGGCCCCTGCAATCGCACATCCCAGCAGCTGCACCCCTGGGACAGGAAGTCCCCTCTTCCAGCCAGCGTTATTCCAGCAGCAAGGAAGTCCTCTGAAAGGATCTGAGATCTCTTTAGCCAATGTCCACGTTCCTCTAGAATCCATCAAACCTAGTAGGCATTACCAATCTTTTTCATCTTCAGGCATTTCCATTTGTTGCCTCTTTTTAACAGGAGATTGCAGAACAAATAATCTTTACTGTTAACTCAAGCTGCTGTTCTGAAACAAGGCTTTGTGAATATTGTCAGACATGGATGTGGGAAACCTCCAGTCGACATTTCCCCCTTTACTGAAAAAAAGACTCTGTGGTTGGAGGAGGAGGTGTTCATGTTGTTGTCTGGCGTATGTTCGATAGTGGAGCCAAATAATGCTTCTCCTTTGTGCCTTTTAGTCTTCTGTCACTTCATGCGTGAAAAATGGGTATTAACTGTTGCCTCTGTCTGCCCATGTAGATATGGCTTATGTTACTTCATGCAGTGTTTCTACTGAACGTTTCTTCTGTCACCTTTTCCCTTACAAAGCATTGGCGTTATAGCATTAGGAAGAAATGGAAATTGAGAAAAATTATGCAGTTCCCTTTCTGTGAGATTAAAATTGCAGTGCAATATTCTGAATTCTCCTCACCAGTGGCATCCTTGCAAAGATCATATCTAGGGAGGCTGTACAATTAATTTATCAAGTGAAGGCATTGGCATCTGAAGTTTGGCACATTGGCACAGATCTACCCACAATAGAAATACATATAATCTAGTGGGACAGTTTCCCCCATTCATTTTTCTGTGGCGATCTCTTCAAAATCTGCTGCTGTTAAGCAGATTTGACTCAGAATTAATGGTGGGAGATTACTATTATATGTGATTACTGCAGCCAGAATCATCCATGCCCAGAGATGAAAATAACCAGATATACCGACACAAGAAGATTGGCTGATGAAAATATCCAAAGGAGTGGAGATGGACAAGTTGATGGTGTTGATTAAAGAGGAATCCTTGATTAAATTCAAAAAAGACTGGGACATATTTAGTATTTTTTCCAAATATTTTGATTAAACATTTACTAGGAAATTGGGGAATGGGGGACAAGGGAAGGAAAAAGAAAAATTTGGGGATAATAGATCAATTATTGGTTAGTTGCATCTTTACAAATGTCTGGTATGTTGCGAGGTGAAAACAAAGAGGGTGAAGGTTGTTGAGGAATGAGGGGTTCTTTTACAATATTATCATTGTTGCAACAAGTCTTCATCTCTATTTCTTTAACACATATTACACAATACTTTTATGCAGCAAAGATAGGGACAGTCTTGAATTATTGTTTTTCTACTATAGAAAAGTGTTATTACAAGTAGAAGAGTAGAAATAAAGTGTAGCTTAAATGGAGTAACAAATAAGTTACAACAGGCAATGAATTGGAGGCTTGTAGATTGGTTTAGTAGGTGTTTGTTTAGAACATATATAGGTTGTGTGTTGCAGATAAAAATGTGTTAGTTCGTATATAATTAAAAATGTAGTTTTAATTTCATTTTGTGTTGTTGTATTTTGCACGTACGTGTTTTCTTTGTTACACAAAAAAGGAATTAATGGCTGGGCACTTCCCCAGTGAAAGAGTCAACATTCCCGGTGTAAGTCTCTGTTCTGCCATGACTTCAGATGTGGAATGTTTTTCCTTTTTTCAGGCAGTGCTCTTCCTGTGACTGCCTATGACAAAGATGGCTTGCGAATCTTGCTTCATTTTGCCAAGGAGTGTCCACCTGGGAGACCTGATGTGTTGGTCGTAGTGGTTTCCATGTTAAACACAGCACCTCTGCCTATCAAGAACATTGTTTTACAAGCTGCAGTGCCAAAGGTAGGAACATCAGTGTGGAAATTCCCATGCACCACAATTGGATGGTTGGTGGGGAGTAAACAGATCTTGTTTTGCCACTGGAGCAAGCAGATTGTATATGCTGTGCCTCAGAGGCCCTGGCAGACTGAGAGGTGATACACACTTAAGTAAACAATATATTCAGTCACATAACACAACTCAGTTAGTTGGGGGTTTTTTTTATTTGTATTTTGCACAAACCTTCCTTCATTGTTATTTACTTGCAGTCTATGAAGGTGAAATTGCAGCCACCTTCAGGGACAGAGCTAGCACCATTCAATCCCATCCAGCCCCCAGCTGCTATCACCCAGGTCATGCTGCTGGCAAATCCTAGAAAGGTAAGACTGCTTGTGTTTGGTTGCCCCATGTCTCAGAAGATGATTACATCTATCATGCATCTGCAGTCTGGACCACGTGCTCCAATGCTCCACCTCTGCTCTTCCTTGTTTTGGCTGGAGATGGAATGAATGCACATCACAGCCCGCTTGCCTGGGTTTCTGTGTTACAAGGCAATATATCAGCTATCAAGTGCAGTTGACCCAAAGTGATCAGTACTACTTCCTGTCTTCTTGTAAGCTTCTGGAAGCATCTGCTGGTTGCCAGTGGTGGTGATATAGTGGCTTAAAAGCACTAGAACTAGAGTAGAACCGTTGAACTTGAGTGTTGCTTTATGAGTTAACAAATAGGAAAATGCCAATGTTTCAGTAAATGTACTCTACTTGGGACTAACAAATTCAGTTCATTTTTTTAGTATCGTACCACAAGTTTGAAGTCCCTATTCATGGAAGAGTAGAAGAAAATGCCATTTTTGTGGTACTTCTGAGTTGTGCTTCAGACAGCGCATTCTGCAGTCTGAGATCAGAGCTATGCTGCTATATGCACCTCCAAATCCAATGTAGTGTCAGGAAATTTGTAGTTTTGTCATGTACTATACTACCTGATTTTTTTCTACATATTCTCTTGTTAAATGTAATGATGGTTACTTTTCTTCTTCATTCCACCTTCCTGTTCGGCTAAACTTCAAACACCTCCACCTGTATCCAACCAGAACAGGAATGGGCAAACTTGGGCCCTCCAGGTGCTTTGGACCTCAACTCCCACAATTCCTAACAGCCAATAGACTGTTAGGAATTGTGGAACTTGAAGTCCAAAACACCTGGAGGGCCAAAGTTTGCCCATGCTTGAGCTAGATGTATTGCTCTCTGAGAGAACTCACGCCAGGAAGGCCACTGATCTCTCCAAGAGCCAGCTGCCACCTTCTCTTGGTTAGTTAGGCAGCACTTTAAAAAGCATAGTATTTAGAATTGGTCAAGGTGAATAACCAACGGAGCACTTGAAAATGCAGAGCACCCATAGGATAGTAGAATTTCATTTGTTTGATGGCAGCTTTAATCAAAGGGCGCTCCGATTGGATGAATGCTTACTTCACTATTCATCCTCTCATTCAGTTAATGATGTGGTATCTCCACTGCATTCATTAATTTGTACTCCACTCCTCCTCTTCTTCTACTGAAAACAAAGTATATAGCATTATTGGTCATAATCTGAATTATTTTTCATGTTTTTGATCTTTGTAAGTTACTGATGAGGCATGTTTAGGCTGAAAAAGGGAGTAAAATCCTTCGTATCAATATTTTTTTTCCAAAAAGTGATGCCTCATTTGCAAATAAATTATTGTACCTCATATCTTAGTCTTTGTCCCCACGTGTTACTCAGAATAGTTGTGTCTAGCATCACATGGGCTCATCCATTATTATTCCTCTCCTCTCTGTTCTGTGATTGAATGCTGCACTGTGCTCCTCCTCCTCTTCTTTTTTGTTGCAGGAGAAGATGAGGCTGAGGTACCGACTGACTTTTGCACTGGGGGACCAACACAACACAGAAGCTGGGGAAGTAGATCAGTTTCCCCCCATTGAACAGTGGGGCAACCTATGACCAAGCGGCACCCAGAAGGGACTGGAAGGAATGTGAAGTGGAAAGGGCAGATGCGGTATCCATTAGTGATATTTAGCTTTGTTTACATGTCCCGTCTGCTCCACTTGTAGCTTTAGTCCAGAATGTTCCCTGCACTCTGGGATGAAGTTGTCTGGGGCATTAACGCCGAGCATGACCCTGAATGGGAGAGCCAAGAACAGGGGCCCGACTCGCTTCCCTACCTTGGCCAATCTGGTTCAAACTTTCACTTTGATGAAACTTGAAATATGATACTTCTGGAGAGCTCTGTATGCAGAAGGGCAGTTTACCGGTCACTCTGTTGGTCCAAAGCCTATAAAGGGCTATGATGCCTTCCTATGTTCCTTTGGGGCAGAGCCCTAGTAGATGCTCTTATGCTCCATTTTTAACCTCTTGGGTGCCAGAATTCAGAGCATCTTGAGGCTTCCTGAGCAATAACACAGGCTCCAAAAGAGGAAGATTCTGCCATCATCTGACACTCCATTTTCTTTTTTAGGCAACATCTCTCCTAAAAGCCAGCACAGTTCCTAAAGGTGAATAATCACTATTTATTTACTTTCCCACAGGTAAATATTAAGGCACACTTCTCAAGCTGTTGCTGCCTTTACGGTTTTTTTGTTTCCTTTTTACTTCAAACTGGATCAGCAAAGTGTGCTTTCTAGGCAGCTGCTCGGTTTTGTATGCACACAACTCTATGGCAGCTCTTCTGCATTCAACAGTTGCATTCTCTGTTGTGAGCTAAAACAGGGGTCACAGTGACAGTTTATGAATTCCTGAAGTGTGGAGCATAGAGATAAATTAATAGTGAGAAAGAGGCATCCATTCTGATACAAGTGTTGATCAGGATCAGAGGTGGGAACTAGTGTAGTTGGGATGTTGATTCTTTTTTCTAAAGACAGTATTATTACTTGAGAAAATAAGATGTACATAGAACTCTAGGAAAGTGTCAGGTCTACAGATAAGGGAAAACAGAAGCCATGACAATGCATGTGCTCAGTTGATTATTCTGTTTTATTCATTCCAAATGTTAAGTGGCTAAGTGCAATTGTCTTCAGGAGGAGAGACCCCTGCGTTGAGACAAAATGACCTTTCTAAATATATGAGGTGTTCATGATTAGGCACATCTGCCCTAAAGTGGGTATCTCTGGTTTGGGTCAAGTAGTTGCTTCTTCCTATTTATCAAACTTTTGTTTCTCAGTCTAAATATTTTTCAAAAACACCAGGGAGATTGCCAGTATGAAATGTATGTTCTGGTTCTGAGCCAATCATTTTACTTGGTTATGAAGAGGAAGACTTGTGGGACCTAAGTAGGTTATGAATTGTTAGATGAGTAGATTCCCAACACTCCTTGCTTGCACTATATAACTGAAAGCAGAATTTTTGCTGAAGCTAAGTAAATGGCATTGAAAAGGCCCCACAATCAGCAGCTCTCCAGTTATTTCTGGATTTTTTACTTTACACAGAAGTAATTGAAAATCACCAGAGTAGCCAGATATGTGCACTGGCTTGCTCCCTCACTGGGATTGAGATTGTATTGTTGCAAGGTAAACTGTTAGGGATGTTTTGGAAGGATCCGCTTGTGTCCATAAGTTGCGAGGGGAGCACTGTTGGGGGCTATGGGGTGCAGGATGAGTTTTTTGTCTCTTGATCTGGTCCTTACTAGCATTTTAATCTCTCTGCTGTCAGGTTTTTGCTTAGGCTGCTGAAGTCTGCCTCAGTGCCATTGCCTATGTGTAGAGAGTAAGTTTCACTGCTAGAGCTAGCAAGTTGCTCTGTGACAGAGAAAACTATGGAAAGGCACAAGTGCTTTGACATAATGGCTTTCTCAATGTCAGCAGTGCTGTCATGCCATACTGTATAATCCAGAGGTCCCCATAGTCTCACTGTGTGAAAATGTACTGTTAAAAGCTTCAGAAATTATTTATGAATGTTACTTGTTCATAGGCTGAAGTTACAGCTTCTTACCAAACACTGAAGACTGTAAATATGTCTCCGAACCATTTGTTTTTCTGCACGTTCAATAAAACTGCTTTCTTTACTCCACTTCAGCTGCCTTGTCGCCATTTCATCCTGGAGTGTGTTTTGTATTTAGATTGCCTGCTTCTCGTGAATAGTTTTGGGAGACAAAGTCTTGGTGGGTAAATGCTCCATGAGCAAGGGAGATATCAAGTTAGGAGGGGAACCTACATGAAATATTACTACTTTTAAAGCCCAGTTCTATAGCAGCTTGCAAAAAAAAAATTTTTCGTGTCAGGAGCGACTTGAGAAACAGCAAGTTGCTTCTGTTGTGAGATAATTGGCCATCTACAATATCCGGTTGTCCAGGGGACACCCGGATATTTTACCATCCTGTGGGAGGCTTCTCTCATGTCCCCTTGAGAAGCAGGAGCTCACAGGAGCTCACCCTGCTCCCTGGTTTTGAACTGCCTATCTTTTGGTCAGCAGTCCTGCCGGCACAAAGGTTTAACCCATTGCACCGCCGGGGGCTCCAGCTTGCAAACTGAATGAGGGGAATAATTTATTGCTGCCTGGTGTAAGCTAAATTACAGTTGCTCTGGTTATGTATTTATGTATATGTACATAAATATATATTAAGTGGAGAAAGGATATGCTTCCTTTTAGCATACAAAAATGAAAATAATTTTGGCTTGTTTTAGATGGCCAGGTTAAGTAGACAGAGGTGTTTACTGCAAGACATTTTCTATTACTAAAATCGCCCATTACATAAATCCCATGGCATTGTACCAGTAGTGCAATGAAATATAGTGCTAAGATAGTGAATTCATTGCAAACTAATTTTTCCTGATGAAGAAATTACAAGAGAGATGCAAAAGCCAATGTTTATTCCTATAAAAAACTCAAAACCTGGTATGTACAGAAAGTCAACAAAGTAGATGTTTTGTGCTGGCCCACTGAACCTTGCTCATGGCTCTTCCACTGTTCCTTCTTTTACAATGGCTTTGGCAAGGTTCCGTGCCATGGCCAGCCTCAGCATCTCTACCTTCATCATCTCAGCATCATCATCCTAGAAATGAAAATAAACCACAGAAATTCACTTCCCTCTTCAGCTCATTAGATAGGAATAATCCGTACTTGCAGTCAGAGTAATGTTTCCTCTCATTCCCATGGATGGCATCATGCAATCACAGGGTTGGAAGAGACCCCAAGGGCCACCCAGTCCAACCCCATTCTTTCATGCAGGAAAATCACAATCAAAGCACCCCCAACAGATGGCCATCCAGTCTCTGTTTAAAATGTAAGTTTTAAAAAAAATGAAAAATAGGTTTTGGTGTTTTCCTAGAGCTTTGTGCTACAGGGTCTAACTAAAATGATATATCCTTACATAAATAAACTGTAATAAATTGTACACATTTTTAGCTGCCAAAAAAGCAAATAACAGAGTTAATTTGCATTCAGCCCTGGGGTGCATCTCACAGTGTTCTATGGAATGAACAGGAAATAGTATTGCTCATGGAATACTTTATAAAGTTGTTTCTGCTAAACAAAGAAATATATATTGTAACTTGCTACGAAATGTTTCATAAACCTTCCGCAGGCTGAGACAAGCGCTACTTATCCAAAGAAGTGGTTTCATTCCAGCAAGCACAGAACTTAAGGGAACAGGTAAAGTTTCCTGCTGTCCCTTGCTCTGCCAATACTGCCATGCAGAAGAGAAATTTCTCTGAAAATCCTCTTCCTAGGCTACAGAACTGGGTAAAGGAGGAGTTGGCTAAGAATGGGCAAGTGGAGACTGGCAAATTAAGCTATCATTTGTGGACCCTTCCACTTAAAATCCAAATCAGGTATTTCAGAAAGAGCAGTGCAACATATTGTTGAGGTCCTCTGATATCCCCCAAAATTGTTTTAGAAAAAGATTCTGGGTTTATGGGTGCAGTGCACTCATGGGATTAAATTTACTCTGCTAAACCATGGCATGTCCCAGTTAACGGCTCCTTTGTGCACTATACAATGGCAAACACGTGTCCCATTCTGCATACATGCAACCTGGACACAAAATGCATGGTGAGTCCCAAGTCCTCTGCCAAGCATTGTCTACAGCAGAGGTAGGCAACTTTGCCAACCATTGTCAGCAGGAAATTTAAACATGTAGGGCAAACATGCCTTACAACCGTCATGTATCAAAAACTACTTAAAACTATCACTCTTCTGGTACTTCAGCCTTTACCTGGAGCTTCTGTTTTTTGGACTCTGTTGCTGTTACATCTTCCAAGCATTTCATCAATTCGTATGTCTGATCGGCAGAGAATATCACCTGGAGGAAAGCAAATAATTTTCATACAGCTATAGTTTCTCATTATTCTTTTCTTGGAGGTTGGCTTTTATAAACATTGACTCTCTGGTAGGTCAGGCACTTTCAAGTATGAACACAAATGCAGATGGCTGTTGGAACCAAGGTTTAACATTCATGCTCTTTTTAGAACCCTTCAACTAACATTGGCCTCTAGAAAAGAGCAGGGAAGTGTGTGTGAGGGCAGGTGTGGTATACGATGATTTGGCATTTGGGAGCTTGTGGGCAGCTGGACTAGAGCAGGGACCATGCAGCCCTCCCTGAGATTGTATAGCCACTCCTACCATTTCTCATTATAGCTGTGCTGTCTAGGATAATGGGAGTTGCAGTCCAGTAGCATATAGAGGACTACATCATTTCTTCCCCTGGACTAGGAGAAATGATTTCTGGAAAGCACTGTTTACATTAATCTGCGTATGCCAGAAAAGAATTCAAAGAGGTATATAGCCCTGTCCCTTGAGAAATTACGAGGAAATTGAACTTATAGGACAGTTGTTCTCAACCTGTGCGTCCCCAGGTGTTTTGACCTGCAATACCCAGAAATCCCAGCCAGTTTACCAGTTGTTAGGATTTCTGGGAGTTGAAGGCCAAAACATCTGGGGACCCACAGGTTGAGAACCACTGGTCTAGGAGGAAAGGCACTTTACATTTTACAAGTATTAAGCTTGACTGAACCCATGTGCAGCAAATCCCAATTCTTATAAGAACAACTCTGCTTCTTTGAAGATGATGAGGAAAGTAAATTTGGTATCTATTTCCCCCATGAATGCCCCAACTTGGTACTGTTTTAGTATTTTTATCAATTGGCTGATTATCTAATTTTCAGAAATGCCAGACTTGCCTCTTTCTGTTCCAGGAGAGGAAGGGCATCAGTTAACAGTGTCATCCAGAAGGAGCATGGGGCAATACGAGCGGTCATCAACATTAACAGCAGCTTTGCTGCTGCAAAAAACTGCTTCTCACCATACAGCCGATGAAATTCCCGGTATTTTCCTGTAGCCAAATGACAAGTTAGATCAGCCACTTCTATAGAATCTCAACGCTATCTGTTATCAGTCATTGACTTAACAAAGTAACCTAACATTGTGGTTAGCACAAAGCAGACTGTACAGGGCACAATTAAGTGAAGATTAGTTTCAAGAAAAAACTATTTAAATGAATTGGAGAGTCTCATTCATTTTAATACGACAAGTCATTAGCAGTCTCTAGAAGGTGCTTGTAATGTACAGGGCTCAAAGTAATCATCTGCAATTGTTTCTGGAAAATGGGAGAGCTAGCTTTGAGAGTTCTGAAAATATCAGCTTTCATTTAGAAGCAAAATCTATTTTACTAAGACTTTAGTGTTGTGTGGAAGGTTAAACATGGGGAGAAAGGAAGAACTTGTGGGTTTAAAACTGGTGTCTTTTTAACTTGCAATTATATTGTCATGATAGCTTCATAAAGCTTCAGTATAAATTCTAAGCGTGTGAAGAATAAAACCATACTTTGTGAGTCTTTTTTGGGGGGAAGGAGAAAAAGTGGGGTGTAAACAAACACAATAAACTTCTTATTTCTAAGCTATTTTTCCAATAGTGGGATTAACATTGTGACAGTGGTTGCCACAGGGCTTTGTTTTTGGCATCCTCTGGTCTCAAGCTGGCAGCACGGATATCTTCGTTGATGGTGTCCATCCATCTTTTCTTTGGCCATTCACATGGTCGTTGTCCTACAATCTCCAAGTGTAGTGTTGTTTGTGCTACTGATGTTGGTTCTCTTCTGACAACATGGCCGTACCACCATAGTCTTGCTTCCTGCATTTTCTTGCTGATCACTTTTATTCCTAGTCTTTAACAGATGTCATCATTTGGCACATGGTCAAGAAGTGTCAAGCCAATTGTCCATCACAGCATTTTCATTTCCATTGTGTTAAGGGCTTGTTCATGCTTCTTTATTGCTGGCCAGCACTCTGCCCCATAGAGGGCTACTGGGCGAACAACTATAGTGTAGATCTTAGCCTTGAGTTGTTCAGGCATTTTCGAGTCACACAGAATGCCAGTAGTTTGCTGCCATTTCAACCAAACTGCATTTATTCGTGACCATACATCTGGCATTGTGTCTCCTACTGAGACCAGTGACCCTAGGTATTTGAATTGGGTGGCCTTCTTTAGTGCCTGCCCATTAATTTGTTTTTCCAGTTTAAAGGCCACATTCCAGGTACTCTGTTTTGGGTATGTTCAATTGAAGTCCATTTTCACTGAGTCTATCACTCCATGTCTGCAACTGTTGTTGGAGGGCTGCATGTTTTTGGTGGCCAAATGCTATGTCATCTGCATTTAGGAGTGTCCAGGGTTGCATAGTCTACAAATCTACTGTGGCAGTGTCTAGGCTGGGTATGAATAGTAATGGTGAGAGTGCTGATCCCTGATGCACACCAACAGTTATGTTGAAGGGTGGAGAAATCCCTGCAGGGCAGCGAACCATACTTGTTGTATTCTTCTATAGTAGCTTTATCCATGTTACATAGTCTTCTGGTATTCCATGTGACCACAGTGCTCGCCAGATCAGGTCATGGGGAACACGATCAAATGCTTTTTTGAGATCAAGGAATGCAAAGTGCAGTGGTTTCTTCTTTTCCTGTTTTTCCATGAGTAACCAGACAGCATCTATTGCGCCACAGCCCCTAACAAAGCCACACTGATTTGGTGTAACAGCTGTGTGACATAATAAACATAAAACTTCTTATATAATTAATTTTCTTTATTTCTCCCTTCAAATGCCTTTAAGATGGAACAAACTTATTTTACTAAGCCATGTTCCCTCTATTTCTATTCAGAGGGACAGAGATACTTTTACAATTATACATATCTATATTATCCTATTTTAATACCAGCTTCCTTAAGTGCTAGAAAGTCTGTTGGATGAATCCAAGGCAAAGCCTGCAGCAGTAAGATCGATTCCAGTAGTTACTTAAGCAGCAAACCAGGGATATGTATTTTGGTAGTGCATCTGGAAACATTTCCAATAATAGAGTTTTAAAAACAAACTTCCCCTTAATTACATAAATATAAAGCCTGCCAGTTCACTTAAGCAGAGATTACAATTGCATCCTCAAAAAACAACTCATAGTAGCCTCTAGGCTGTTAGTTTTCCTAAACATGGACCTTTTATTGCCATGTGCAAGCACCTCCCTGCCAGGTTTCCACAAGTTGTGGTGTCATCACAAGACTGCCTTATCCAACACTATAGTACCTTAAAATAAAATCAGAAAGCTGCAAGCTGTAGTTCTCACCAAGAAATGTCAGTCGGTCACTGAGCAACATAGATGGTCCCAAGTTATCGATGAGGTCCAAGTCTGAGAAGGTGCCTCTTTCACAGTATTCCTTCAGGAATCTGGAAGATTGGATGTGTATGAAGCCAGGTTAGTATCATAGCTGCCCTTCATTCCAAGGAACCATGCTAAGAAATCAAAGCCTGCCATTCTGAAGGGCATTGCCTTTTAACACCTAAGACTGTGATCTCAAACCTTCTAACTGTCCAGTGATGTGTTTTCACTGGCCTAAGTTGAAGGCACATTTCACTGTCATATGCATTTTTACAAGTGTGAAAAAGTAGAAAAGTACCCAACAGGCAAAGGACTGCAGCCCTGTGTTAGGCATAGGCAAATCCTTCAGTTTTGTTTTTACTCACATTCACATTTTGTGAAAATTTGGTAAATTCCAAAGCAAAACGGAAATGAAATTCTTACTCAATCCTACTCTGTGTTTCTCCATGTGATACTGTGTTTCCTCCTGACTAAACAAAGCACTACAAAAGGTAGCCTGATAACAGAGAAACCTCTCTCTGTAGTTAATTCAGAGCAATTCCAACATGGAGCTATTCTCATTTTTAAAGCTAAAGCAGGAGCTCCAGAGAGTGAGTCTTCTTCCTGTGTCTGCTGTTTGAATGCCAACTGCTGCTTTGTTGTAAAGGTAGCATGCTGCTTAGAGCCTGAGGATAGAGGTCTTTTGCCTCATTGGGACGCTGCAGCCTAAAAAGGCAAGGGCTGAGTTTTCATGTGATGTGCAACATATCTTGTTAGCAGCTGTGTCTCTTTTCGCTGCTGTGTGCAGGGAATCCTAGGGCTCTTCCACACAGCTGAATAAATCCCTACATTATCTGCTTTGAGCTGGAATATATGGCAGAATGGACTCAGATAACCCAGTTCAAAGCAGATATTGTGGGATTTTCTGCCTGGATATTCTGGGTTAAATGGCTGTGTGGAAGGGCCCCTAGTTGTGATCATATACAACACACTCTTGGTGATGCTACCCATTACTGGACTGCAGAGGTCAATCCTGAATCAAGTGTTTCATATGGGTGGCTGGGGGCAGCGGGATGAAGACATTGCCCCCAGGATGAATCCTGTCCCCTTCCAGGCTTCAGCTGAGCATTTAGAAATTTCAGCAACCAAAGAAAAAGGAGCAGGCAACGTGATCAAGGAAGTAAGAACACAACAGACACATGAGGTTTAGATGTGAACAACTATATGGTGCTAGAAATGTGGGAACTAAAAAAAACTAGAGGGCAGAATGCTTATTTTTGGAGCATCTTGCCTTCTCCCTTATAACCATAACCCTGTTGTTTCTCCCCGCTCCAACACCATATCCCCCCACCCCCGACCTCTTCTGACTCCTTTGCTCTTACTACGTCTTGTCAAAATGGTCTTTCTTATCCAAATCTTACCTATCTGATATCAGGGTGGCAAATGCGGCATCTTTTGCCCGGATGCTCCAAGACAGCGCGGAGCCAAGGCGATTATTCCGGACAGCTTTCATGGCCATGATTTTACAGATGCTACGAACTTGAAGGAGAAAATGAAGGGGAATAAATACGGTCAGTGATTTGTATTTAACGCTGACATATTATTATACTTCAAAAAACGTAAGCAAGATTCACCTTGTTCGCTCATCATTCTTTGCTCACAAATTCTCAGCACTTTGAGGGCTTTACGTTCTGTGTCCAGGGGGATCCGTTCGATATGATGCTCCAAGTATGCTCTGCCATATTCTGGACAATGGTCAAAATAGTCTACTGCCAGCTGCCATAAACTACATGGGGAAAAGAATGATTGAAGGGCTCTCTTTGGAAGCCAGTTCTCCCTAGACCTTTTGGACATACAAAGCTAAAGCAGCCAGCACACATAGCAAGGGCCAAGAGAGGAAAATACAGTCTGCATTAAAAGAAAACTTCAATCAGTAGATGTTTACATGCTCATGGATTCATAACTGATTTAATTCTCATTTCACGCATGTGGACCATAAAAAGCAAGTATTTTCAAACTTTATTGGTTACAACAAACAATAAGTTTTGATAGCATCACATCCCCCAAAACACCCAAGAAAAATTAGGAGCCTGTTGAGAACCACAAGAAGCTGTATTTGTTGTTAATGTTTAAATCCTGAAATATAAAAATAGTGCCCCCATCCATGTAAAAACAGTCGGACATATGTCCCATTAAACAAATGGGATTGAGCTAAATCATAACTTGAAGCATTTGTTTCAATGGAGACTTAGTCACAAATAATGTGAAACTAAATTGGAGGCATTATGGTCAGGAGGCTTAGACCAGAGTTAAGGCTTCTCAGTAATATCAGTTGACTGGGAACTTCAGCAAGCTTCCCATATTTTTTCATGATCTGTGGCCATTAAGTGATTAAGATTGTGAAATGCCTTTGGACAAAAGGAAGCACTACTCTTCCCTCCCTTTTTCTTGCTTAGCCTGTCATGGAGGTGACATGAAATTGGCTTTTTGCTTTCTTCTTCTCTACTTTGGAATCCCTTATGTAAGTAACATTAGGAGTTCCCACCAGTTTGAAATGCAAAATGTTCCACAAAAACAAGGAAAAGAGTATCTACAAGTAAAACATTTAGATGCTAAAGGTTACATCAACAAAAGGCAAATAAATTTGCTTTGGGTATCATTACTCAACTAGAAACCATTTGGATATAACTAAATACAAATTTTCTTCTCCCTTACAGTGCTGAAATGTATTTAAACAAAATTATTGTTACCTATGATGGGAGAAGAGCCCAGAAGCATATTCCAGTAGGAGGTATTCACGCATATTGGAACCAAAACTAAAAAAAGAACACATTGTAATAAGCTTCCTTTTAATGTACAGCAATTCCAGTTAATACCATTTTTATGAGACACAAACCCAGTTTCCTCTTCTGTCACCATTATATCTGAATTCATATCTGATTTATAGTTTCATTTCATCAATGATAGGTAAAACTAAACTGAACTTAAGCTATCAATTACTGCAAAACATCTTCCATTTTTGTTAAACAGCGGGGAATACAATTGTACTGTCACCAAAAGTTAGCACAAGAAGGATGGAAACTGTGCAGTCCACCATAGGCTGTTGAATTGCAGCTTCCACCGCCTTTAGCCAACACAGCAATTACAGTTCAATGACATCTGAAGAGCCATGCAATTCCTATCCACTTACCATAAGCTGTCTATTTCTAATTCAAACATCAAGTCAGTTATTATTTGTAGTAATAGTAGTAGCAATTTTATTTATACCTCACCTTTCTCCCCATAGGACTCAAGGCGGGGAACAACCAACTATACAATCTAATTACAATTTAAAACAAAGTTATGAACACAAATGGAATAAGGCAAGCTTCTGCTTCTTAGCTGCAGTTTTAAATCTGTAAATGTTGAAAATACTGGCCAACTTACAGAACTGTTGCAGAACTGTGCAAATAATGCACATGAAATATTTAAGCACTCTGAAGTGCTTCATATATGCATTCTTTTTCAAAAAGAGATTAAACTGAGTAGCCTTTAAAAACAAGTACACGTTTAGTTTTATATGGTGCCACCTTTTGGTGAATGCTTCCTGATACCAAACTTCTTTTTTTTTTTTTGCTTTTAATTGCTGGTTATCACCAGACCCTGAAGTGCCCTTTAACAACCATATTTGGCATGCACACAACCCCATGCGAAGTAAGACAACTCACTAAAGATTGTGAGACTGGAGGAGACTGCAGTGGTCCAGCAGGTCTGTCAAATGAGCTACAAACCACCAGTTGCTCAGGGCAATGCTGCAGAAGCAAGGAACAAAAGGAAGGAGAAATAACATCATAATCAATACACCCCTGAAAACTTTACGTGGGAAAAAACAGCAACCTTCTCCACCCAATTTAGCAAACTATTCCATTTAACAGAATCACATTTTATCAGAACCCAATCTAGGAATCCATTTTGGTTTTAGACTGATTGTATATTTTTCTTTCTTTATGCATGCACAACATTTACAAAAATCTCCTTTTCCCTATATTTAAGGTTGTAAAAAAGAAGCCCTCTGTAAAGTTAGTTACCTGCATTCTTTAATCACTTGATGGATATCAAACTCAAAGGCTGCCAATAAGATGCTATCCAAAGGCTCAGGGGAGCTCTCTCCTCCTAGGAATAGGTCCAGGCTGGACTGTTGAAGACCCAAAAAAGGTAGCATATATTCAGTGCCAAGGATATGTGCTGCAGCATCAACCTTGGGTTATGCCATTATAAACCATATGGCACAGATGTTATTTAAGAACACACAAACAAATACTGAGAAATGCCAAACAGAGGCCATACACACACACACACACATAGTAAAGAAAATATAGCCAATGTGTGGCCATGAAATGTCAGACTACCATGCACTCTGCCCTAGCCAACAAGGGCAGAGTTGGGGAATTTACTGTTGCGAAAGTGATTAATTTCTGTTACCTATTACAGCTTATGTGTAAAGAAAAATGTTGTTATTCACTGAGTTGCTGAAAAATAAGTAACATTTTACTCAGAGTATTCCTTATTAAGTTTTGTTATCTAAAATCCTTAACATTACTGACACTGGCATGGGGGGAAATCCTCTTAAGATACCTTAAAGTGCTGTTTTAAATGAATAATCTGGTTTATATGGTGAGCAGTTTACTTTCCTAGATTTGCACCTGATAAAATGAGCTCAGCTGACAAATGTTTATGCTTAATAATAAGTTTTACTCTTCCATGGTGACACCAGGGGTGTGTCTACACCAGTGGTTCTCAACCTTTGTTTGACCAGGGAGCACTTTGACCAGAGAACACTCTCCAACGTTAGTACCAAAAAGGTTATGAATCAGTTTTTGGTCAACTTTAGATTTGGCTTGGTTTTTTGGGGTACTGATTCAGAAAATTGCTTTGGATAGACCACATCAGCTCATAGTTTCAGAACATATGCCATCCAGTAGTTGCCATCTGCTCGCCCACAGAAAACCATATTTAATAAGCCTCGGCACTATAAGAGGGTTCCCTAGACCAGTTGCTCTCATTGCAATGATGTAGTAACGGTGAGGCCACAGATCATATTATAGTTCTTGGGGACCACTGGTGGTCCATGGACTCCCAGTTGGGTACAGCTGGTCTACACAGTGTACAATGAATGCAGTTTGACATGATTTTAAGTGCTGTGGCTCCATGCAAGGGAATCTTTGGCCTCTGTTGCCAAAGAATGCTGGTGCTTCAACAAACTATAACTACCAAGTTTTCATAGCATTTAGTCCTATCAAACTGCACTAATTCTACAGTAGGTGTACACTAGGTCCTCTTTTTCCTAGACTGAGTTGCCAATTTACTGTCAACAGCAAATTGACAGAGTCATCTGAGTTTCCCAAATTTAAGGCTAGCAGAGGCATAAAATCGCCTGCAATTCTGATGCAAAATAAGCTTTCCTAAATGTACTGCTGTTTAAACTTCTTATGAATATTGGTGGCAAGAGGAGATGTGGTAAATGCACCTCCACACTGCCTGCAATCTATCCCTCTAAAATGGCATCATCTCTGACAAGATAAAGCAAATCAAAGAGAGCAGCACATCTGGTTCCCTTTTTGGCGTGGATGGTAATGAGACTGGCTGTTGTTTGGAAGTGGGTTTTAAATCACCTGGGCATAGACATGGAGTTCCACGTGCTTCACAGTAGGATGGCAGTACAGCAAACGGGTCACCAGGAAGTGGTACCAGGTCGTCATGAGGTCTTTCTTCTCCAAAATGGTTTTCTCATCTCCCAGCAAGATCTGATTGACAAAGCAGGAAACAACCACAGGAGATCAGGCCTGCACAACATACAGCCCGCAAAGGGTTTCCCGGAGGCAGGCAGTGGAAAAGCCCAGCCCCTTCACCAGCTGCACACAGCAAAGAGGGGAAGCAGACAAGAGGCAGACTAAACTGGTGGTCCTGTGACAAGTTCCAGTAATGAGTAAGCATGGAGGGAAAGAGAAGTGACTCATAAAAGTTTGTTTACAAAAATACTGGCCTGTACAACTGCCAAGTTGTGCAGGCCTGCTCTAGAGAGCACTAATCTTTTCATCCAGGAAATGTGATGGGCTGGAGCCACTATGTGTTTTTGTCATCCTAGCCTTTGAAGAACCTGTTGGTATGTTTTATGCTCATGCAACTTCCATAAATAGCCATAACCATTAATCAATTAGTTCTCTTTCCTTCAAAGCTTCACTCTGTTTTGTTCCCTCCTACTTCTCAATGATGAAGCACATCAATGTTTAAGGTTCACACAACTAAAATACAACATGTTGATGTTTACAAAGTTCATCCTCACCCTGCCCACTCCCATTAACTTAAGAAAAAGCACAAGTGCTCTGCAGCCTCTTAAAACAAAACAAACAAAAAACCCAGTACTTTCTAAGGCATCACATGCCCTGGTCAGGAAGGAAAGAAGGAAGACGGCATAACACATTAGTATCAGGGGTATTATTAGCGTTAACCAGGAGAGGCCAATGGCATTCCCACAGATGTATTCTACACTGCGGTAGGGAAGTTTCGGCTCTCCAGATGTTTTGGGCTTCAAATCCCAGAAGTCTCAGACTGCATGGACAATGATAAGGGATTATGGGAACTGCAGTCATGACCACCTGGAGTTCCAACTGTTCCTAATCTCTGTTCTACACAGAAGCACCAGCTGGGCAAATACTGGCATTTTACCAACAAGAAAACACTGCTTCTGCAAAGGATGTTTTCGTGTGAATGTCATGGGCCCTTCCCATTGAACATGTTCTTCAATGTTTGGCTTCCAGCATACAATTTATGCAATGTTACAGATGCCTTCATTTTCAGAGCATGGACTTAATCAGCATCACCATGACCACAGAGAAGACACTAGAGCCCCAGCCATTCTTACAGTTGAGTGAAATCAATGTACAGGACTGAAGCACCAACACCAGTGGCTTACTGGAAATCACACAATGAAAGAAGAGGGCCGAAAGCGATATTTTGCTCCAAATATTCCCTTTCCCTGGCTCCCCCACGACCCATCGTTCTCAGATCCAACGCACCTTGCAAAGGGTTTCCATGTGAGGGTTGGAAGCAAATGTGCCATCTTTCAAGAACCGCTGACACTCCTCATGCCAGTGCTGCCATTTCAGCTCCAGCTCCGTCAAAGTCTGAATGCTATTAAGCTGGGAAAAGATGCAAAGGCAGCTAAGTTCATTTCATCTCAAAATTCACAGTTGACAGCACTTTCCAATCACTTCTCATGAAAGAAGCAACATTTTGATGTTTTGGTTTTATCTAATGAAAAACTGCATCTGATGCATCCTTTCTCAAAAAATAGCTTTATAAAAGGACAGCCTTTATATACATTTGTGTGCAGAATGAATTCCACTCATTTAATTGGACTTCTAACCACAGATGTGTCTTTACAATCATAGCGGAACCAGAAGAGCAAACATTTTTCAAGGCGGTATCACAGATATCTAATAGCTTATTCTTCAGACAAAAAAAGAAGCATACTGTATTTTATTGCATAATAGTCCTCATCACATAATAGTCATACTCTCCATTTTTGGGGTGGCAAAATTGTAGTTTTGAGTTCCTCACATAATAGTCACAGAGCCATTTGGGGCTGATTTTCCCTTCTTTCTTTCTCCGAAGACAAGGCAGTTTACTAACTATGAAATGGAGGTCTCTGGAACTCAGACTGTCTCTCCTTTCACCAGAGAAAGAAGGAAGGGAGAGGAATCTTCCCTCCTCATTTCTCTTTTCTCCAAGGCAAAGCAGTTAAAACAAACAAACAGAAATGGGGCTGTTTGTTTGAGGCTGGCTCATCCCTCCTCTTCTTCCTGTCTCAAGAGATAATGCAGTTTATTTAAATACAAAGCAACCAGAAACGGGAGAATCCCAGGCAGATTTTTTTTCATTGTGAAATAGTTGCACCTCTTTTTTTTTCAATTAACAAAGGATAGAAGGTACAACTATTATGCAATGAACTATGCTATTTTATATTTTTAAAAACAGAACAAAAAGTGAACTATTCATCATCATCCACATTTCAGCTTTGCTTGCAGAATGCCTAAATTTAAACTGCTAACACCTCATGTTTAAAATCATCCAAGGTAATGTGATAGGAGAGAAATGTTTACTGAAGACCTCAAAGAATTCCTGACTGTGATATCTGGATCAAAACTGTGATATCTAGATCAATAGTCAGAACAACAATACAGTCAAAGGAAAAGAATACACTATTGCGAATCCATCACTGATTCCCCTGGCCAGAACGATTTGGGAGAGCTACAGCCTACATACACTGGGAACAGGCATCTTCTTCATCAACTCGTCCAAAATTTTGCACATGTTCACTGAAGTAGGATTTGCATTGGCTTCCTTAGAGAGCAGCTGTCGAGCCTCATCCATCCGACCCTGAAGCACAAAGATAGTCACCTGCAACAAAACAAAACATCGTTGTGAACAATTATGGAATGAAACCAGTGATACCACCTAGGTATGAATGGTTATCAACCAAAACTGTATACATCATACAGCTGGGTCATTCATATCCCCAAGTCTGGATCCACTGATTCCAATAACCACACTACCACAACCGCCATCATATTCTAGTATTAAAATATTTTAAAATATTCAAAACATATGGTTTTCAAAATAAATCCCCCCCCCTCAAATAGCACCATGCGACACCCCTTGCCTGACAACTTCACAAGAAGATCATGGTGGGAGGGAGGGGAGAGTCCATGACACAATCCCCACAGATATGGAGGACCCAAAAGATGTTGTTCTGAAATATAATATTCAGAGCAACATTTTTAACAGGATAGTTAGGGCGAATTAATTTTGACAAGCACATGTTACACTGATGTAAAAAACCACATGTTGACTGAAAAGTCATCATCCCTATTTACATGTGTTTCTGGACAACATTTCTCACTTACCACGTTCCAAAAGTTTTCATGTTTTGCTGGACTTTCATTCCTCAGAACTTCACAAACCATGTTGTCCACATCACATACGTGAAGCCGAACCCAGTCAAGGAGATGACACAGGAGAGGCCCAGCTGAGAGGGGCGGGGGGGGGGGGGGAGAGAAATATTTCAACAAACTGTTCTGGTCTTTCATATTATTCTTGGAAGATGTCACTATTTTGGCACATTGCTTATACTGGTTCGCTAAAGAAGGCTGCACAGCTGAGGATGCATTTCTGACACTGAAGGCAAAATTTCCTATAGTAGGTCTGAAGACTCACAAATTATGATGGCACTGTTCTGATTTATGTGAAATAGATAGCTGCAAAGCAAGAGAACTGCTGGCCAGAATACTACAGAAAGCTCCAAGTGCACAATTTTAGCTTTGTTGAATACTTAAAAATCAGATCATTATCTTGAAGCCAAGTTGGGGCTGGGAAATATATATGTAGTACCTGATTTGTTAAAAGTCTGGTTGCCAAAAGTGATCTTAGATCAGCTAAAGAAAGAAGAAAAGCAGCAGTCCTTTTTATTCACCACTCCACTTTTTACCTGGTGCTGCTTCAATAAACATAATTTCGCACAGATTCCATATCAATTCCATCGCAGACAGGATGGAGACCTGAGGAAAAACAGACACCAATAAAAGGGCAACAGTCATTCTAATATTTTGAGCTTGAAGATGACGGCAAAGTAGTCATATCAGCTTTGAAATTGTGAAAAAGTGCTCAAGAGATTTTTAATGTAGAATAAAGAAGAGGCTGTTAAAATATGAGATTTAGACTTTTGTCTTATTTACAGGTTAGGGTTCAGAAAATTTCAGGCCTGAGGATAATCCCACCATGGCACTTAGTTGTGCATGTATTGAATATCCCCCTGCCCTCCTCTGCAGACAGCTTCATGTGCTGTTCTTGATACCTTTTCAGACCCAACTTAATGCTGGATGAGACAAACACACATTTCTTGGCAGAGAAGTGATATTAGTTGGAAGAACTTGTTTTGATGGCAGTCAAGGAAAGTGAACATTTATGGACCTTTGAACATGGTAGTAAACCAAAAAAGTGTAGATTTTTTTCAGAGATTTCACTAGAATGTATCAGATTTTTCTCTTTCTTGAAGAATTGGGATAAATCCTCCAATATTTCAAAATATGTCTAAATCCAATATGGCATTCATGATGCTTATCAGGATTGTCAGCTCCTTCCCTTCACAGCCATTACTCAATATTTTGGAAAACATGCTTTTGAGAGTTTTCCAGCCCTTGAGAACAGGGAAAGGGGCCCTGTGGCAGGGAAAAGGGAATTGCTTCTCCCACTTACATTAGATTCTGCTTCTGACACAGATGACAGCTCCAGTCCTTCCTACAACCCAATAACTCCAGAGGCTGTACTCTGTGCACAACCTGCTGAACCCTACAGTACAGAATGTATCATAATCCTTGGAATACAAGAATTATGATTGGCTGGAAGCAACTATTTACACTGCCAACAATAGCAGAAAGACCTTCCCACAGACCTACTTCTAGAAAATTTCACTAGTGCAGGAAGACCAGGAGAGAAGGATACCGATGTAGCAAAAGCCTAACAGTTGCTTTCCCTTAAGAAAACTGACTCTAGGAGTGGAATTTGGGACAGTGAAAAAGGAGCTATCAGGTCCAGATCCATGTTTTGAAAGATCTACACCAACCTGCCACCCTACAACTGGAATCAGGGTTTCAGAGTGAAAAATTGGCAAATGGGAAAATGTGAAGCAGTCTTCATCTTCCACTGCTTCTTACTCCATAATCTTCTCTCAAGTTCCTTTTTTTACTGTTTTCACAAGACTGAAATGTTTCCAGAAATAACACTTTGAGATAACACTTTTCAGAATTACATACATATTGAATCTGGAGAAAGCATCAGTTGTTGGAAACATCAGATGCAGAAGAGTTTGGGTGGATTAAAATATTGGTTGTTATTGTATTTCAACAATAAACATGCCCCCAAATAATGAAACAATTGGTGTGTTAGTAATAAAAGAGCAAAGAAATTCTGCAACAAGCACCATGCAATTCTTTTTAGGGCAACTATTCCCACTGTAATCAGACAAATGATACTATATATAGACCAACAGAATCCAAAAAGTCCAGTAATCAGAATACTAAATATACAGAAGGTACTAGAAGTAATTTAACAAAAAGCATAATATTTCAGTTACCTGTGTACTGTGATGTAAGTGCATTGCTGGGTCCCGTGTGGAAACTTGCAAAGGAAAAAAAATCCTAGAGGTCAAGATCTTTTCCTTCTTGAAAATTCAGAGCCAAAAATAAATTTTATTCCTAATCTACAACATTCTAGAGCAGAATTTGTCAGCAAATTTCAAATTCCATCCTTTGAAAAGAGTCTTCTGTATGTTCTGGGGAGAATGTTTGCATTTTTTTTTCAAAAACACATTGTGAGGCCCACTGAAGAAACAGCCTACAGAAGCAGTATGTATGGGCCACATATTCCTTATCTTTTCTGTAGGTAAAGTTCTTTTTCACTTAACAACCACTTTTATAGGCTACATTCAAAATGCTACCATAACTTTTGCTATACCTATAGAGCTCACTCTCATCTCAACTATCAGAATATCAATGGACGAATATGTGAAGTGATAATGTAATCCACTCTAACTGATTTACAAGTTGATAACTTCTGTAAGACATGTAGGAAGACTCCAATTAAATTTCATGAGCTGTTCAAATTATTTCTAAAATAGTCTGTCTTGGATTCAAAACCAATGAGTTCCACATGAATAGTGCTGAATGACTTACTAGCCATCTGGTGTGAATCTTCCATACAGGCTCTTATGACTGAACGGTAGTTTTTGCTCACTCGAACCAATCTTTTAAAAAATAGAAAAGCATTATTAGAATGAAGGTTTAAAAAATAATCAACACATGAAAATCATTTGCCATAATCCATGTGCTTCAACAGCAGTAATCTTGCATTCATTTGCTACATACTCCTAAACACTACACAGACATTTGCTGGTCCTAATAACAACATTGCCAGTTTTGATTTTATTATGGATAGACATAGGTATCAATATTAAGCAAACTAATGATATGCTGAGGCTTCAATTCTGTATCCTTTCACCTGGAAATAAAACCTAGCCAAAGTAGTCAAATGTAAATGTGACTGAACAAGTAGAAAGTTGGGTTCCAAACGGAGTGATTTAGTATAGATTCCTGATCCCGTTTGGATAATTCCACAGAATCAAGATCTTAAAGACCACTTACTGGGCAGTCCTACATTTCCCAGCCTTTTCTTTCTCATCCTTCTGGAGTCCAACAAAGATTCCATGTGATTCATTGAAAAGCTTTCTCAAAGTCTGAGAGTATATGTCTTGATCTTTGCGAACAATGTAGACATAGGGACAGCCTGGGCTTTTATCTTTATTTTCTGAAACAAAGGAGAGATGTTTTAGTGTAACAACAGAGCCCAACATGAATTAAAAGGGAAACAAAAAGGTGACCTCCATATTTCTAAATTAAGCCACAATAAATATTCAAATAAGGGGTTTCAGTGTAATGGTTTAAGCCTTGCACTATGATTCTGTATATCAAGGACTGAATTTCCTGTATGGCAAAAGAAATCCACAGGATGACCTTGGCTAAATTACACTCTCTCAGCCTCACAGGAAGGCAGAGAAACCTGTTCTGTGCCAGGTTCGCCTAAAAGGCACAGAACAATGAAGATTCTAAGATTATCTTGGAGCATATGTACCTGAAAGGAAATGATGAGTGGTTATCTATAAATTTGGGACAAGAGATCATGGTAACATATGGAAATATTTCTCCATCAAGTGATGACATGCAAGCCCCGGAACTGTTTCTAAGGTGCATCTACACTGTAGAATTAATGCAGCTTGACACCACTTTAATTGCTGTGACTCGATGCTATGGAATCATGGGCACTGTAGTTTTAAAAAGGTCTTTAGTCTTCTCTGCCAAATAGGGGCAGTGCCCCATCAAACTTCAACTTCTATGATTCCATAGCACTGAGTTATGATAGTTAAAGTGTCAAATTGCATTCATTCTGTGGTGTAGATGCCGTTGTAGATGCAGAGATAAACTTAATAACTTAAAAGAACTACAGACCATCACAGGCATAAAATTAGGGGAGAAGAAGTTAAAATATTTAGGCGTTTATATTCCTAAAAATTTACCAACATAACTCAATCAAACTATAATAATTTATGGGGGGGGGGGGAAGTAAACAATCAAATGTGCAATTGGAAAAAGCAAAATTGGGATATGCCTTTGTTAAAATATATTTGGAAAATTGGGATATGTCAAGTAAAAAATTAAGACTGTCAAAATGATGATTATCCCCAAACTTTTATTCTTGCTCCAAGTTCTCCCATATAGTGTTCCCAGAAAAATAATCAAGAAATGGAACATATCAATAAAAACTTGGATAGCAGGAATAAATAAAAATAGAATTGCCAATTCAATATTTTACTCTCCAGAAGGAAACGGAGGATGGGGTGCACCTAATTTACAAAATTATTATGAGGCCTGCCAGTTAACAAGATTGATAGAATTAGATTTTGATGATTTAAGAAGATGGGCCAGAACTGAAAAAACAATTGATGGGATCGTTGTTTGTGCTTAAAAGGGTGGATGGACAATAAAACTCTAACAGAAATTAAAGGGGGGCCAATGATATCATCCTTGGAGTGCTGGAAAAAATGGCAAGGTAAATTCCCAATAAATAAAGTAGATATACTCCCAGTAGGGTTTCTAGACAATAAAAAAGAACAGATATTTGGCAAAGTGATAACAAATGTGAAACAAAATGGAATGAAATTGATAAAAGATCTCCTAAACCCAGATGGGACAATTAAGGATTGGGAGACGATAAAGGAAAAATGTGGTCAATGTAACTGGCTCCTTTGGAATGGATTGGAACAAAGGATCATGAAGTGGAGGAAAAAGGAAAGCCCAGACACAGATTTTGATCGAATTTTAAAGTGGAAACTAGAAAAGGAGAAAGGCCTGGAGGGGTCCATATACAAGAAATTAGTTGGAATTCAATATAATTTGAAACAAGCATTGGTAGAAATATGGAAAGACGATATAAATAACAATGATTCAGACATTGAACACTGGATCAAATCAATCAAAAATATCAAGTATATAAAGATTAGAGAAACACAAAGGAAAATACTAACTAAATAGTATAGAACCCCAATTAAACTAGCTCACATAACTAAAATAACCGCAAAATTGTGTTGGCACAGATGTCGAAAAATTGGCTCCTATATACATATGTGGTGGGAATGCGACAAAGTACAAGATTTTTATAATAAGGTAAAGAAGGAAATGGAAGAATTAATAGGGCATAAATTGGTTTTGAATAAAAAAAGAATGCTTCACCCAGATATCAGACAAGAACAAAAACATCAAAGCTTGGGGGGAAATTATAAAATATATGATAGTTGCCACCCAAGCAACTGTGGCCTTGGGGTGGAAAGAACATAGAAAGTGGGAAGTTAAAAATGGTATGGTTACCTAGATTTTATGCTTCAGGACTACATCTCTGAAAGAAGAGCCAAAGCTACATCATGCCGAATCAAAAAGACCTGGGTTCAGAAATGGGGAAGACTGATAGAAAAGGTCAAAGGAAAAGAAAGATATAAAGAGCTGAACCATTCTCTTTCCACGATTGTTCAATTAAAATAATATTTGAATGAATACAAGTACTGTTCCCAGGGGGTGGGGGGAGTAGGAGAGGGGTGTAAAATCAATAGAAACAAGTGGGAGATAAAGGTGGAATAGATAAGAATAAGAACACTATGAAAACAATATTTGATATATATTCGGAAATGGTGATGAATTGTGATATCATTCTACCTGTGTCTGCAATAAAAACATCTATTTAAAAAAGAGATAAACTTAATAAAGCAATAACATTGTTTTGCCTTGTATTCAGACAAGATGGAGGTGCTGTGATGAGTGGTTCCCATACCTATACTCAGGGGTGTGTGCCTGCATTCACTGAAATTGTTTGAATCCCCACTGAGCTCAGTAATTAGGAGCTTCAGATAATTCAACCTGATCATGGTGGTTCAGAAACTGGTAACCGCAAATCAGATTACTGCAATGCCTCCTATGTAAGTCAACCATTCAAAATGCTTCAGACGTTGCAGCTGGTGCAGAATGCAGCTGCTCACTGACTGACAAGAAAGGGTGATCAACTGGACACAAGGGATGCACTCAAGGATTCATACTGGTTGCTAATGTGCAACTTGGCCAAATTCAAGAGTTTGATGTTTTTGTTTAAGTCATAAGAAAACAACTTGGAACCAAAATACTTAAAGGACTTAATTTCAATGGATATTTTGTGAAGTTCTGTTTGGGAACTCTACAAAAGCAGCTCTTGAGGATCGTTAATGGAGTTCTTCATACAATTATTCATCTACTGAAGAAAGCTTATACGGTATATCTCCAGTTACATTGTGAGTGATGTCCCAAAAAGTTTCCCATCCAGGTATGGATCATATTGAGCCTATCTAGTTTCAGAGACTAGGGCCCCTTCCACACAGCTGTATAAAATCTACATTGAACTGGATTATATGGCAGTGTGGGCTCAGATAACCCAGTTCAAAGCAGATATTGTGGATTGTTGTTGTTGTTCATTCGTTCAGTCGTCTCCGACTCTTCGTGACCTCATGGACCACCCCACGCTAGAGCTCCCTGTCGGCCGTTACCACCCCCAGCTCCCTCAAGGTCAGTCCAGTCACTTCAAGGATGCCATCCATCCATCTTGTCCTTGGTCGGCCCCCTCTTCCTTTTGCCTTCCACTTTCCCCAGCATAATTGTCTTCTCTAGGCTTTCCTGTCTCCTCATGATGTGGCCAAAGTACTTCATCTTTCTCTTGTATCCTTCCCTCCAATGAGCAGTCGGGCTTTATTTCCTGGAGGATGGACTGGTTGGATCTTCTCGCAGTCCAAGGCACTCTCAGAACTTTCCTCCAGCACCACAGTTCAAAAGCATCGATCTTCCTTCGCTCAGCCTTCCCTAAGGTCCAGCTCTCACATCCGTAGGTGACTACAGGGAATACCATGGCTTTGACTAGGCGGATCTTTGTTGCCAGTCTGATGTCTCTACTCTTTACTATTTTATCGAGATTGGACATTGCTCTCCTCCCAAGAAGTAAGCGTCTTCTGATTTCCTGGCCACAGTCTGCATCTGCAGTAATCTTTGCACCTAGAAATACAAAGTCGGTCACGGCCTCCACGGTTTCTCCCTCTATTTTCCAGTTGTCAATCATTCTTGTTGCCATAATCTTGGTTTTTTTGATGTTTAGCTGCAACCCGCTTTTGCGCTTTCTTCTTTCACCTTGATTAGAAGGCTCCTCAGCTCCTCCTCGCTTTCGGCCATCAGAGTGGTGTCATCTGCATATCTGAGGTTGTTAATGTTTCTTCCAGCAATTTTCACCCCAGCTTTGCATTCATTCAGCCCCGCACATCGCATGATGTGTTCTGCATACAAGTTAAAAAGGTTGGGTGAGAGGATGCAGCCTTGCCGTACGCCTTTCCCAATCTTGAACCACTCTGTTGTTCCATGGTCAGTTCTGACTGTTGCTACTTGGTCCTTGTACAGATTCCTCAGGAGAGAGACAAGGTGGCTTGGGATGCCCATCCCACTAAGAACTTGCCACAATTTATTATGATCCACACAGTCAAAGGCTTTAGAATAGTCAATGAAGCAGAAGTAGATGTTTTTCTGAAACTCCCTGCCTTTCTCCATTATCCAGCGGATATTGGCAATTTGGTCACTCGTTCCTCTGCCTTTTCTAAACCCAGCTTGAACATCTGGCAACTCTCGCTCCATGTATTGCTGGAGTCTTCCTTGCAGGATCTTGAGCATTACCTAACTGGCATGAGAAATAAGGGCCACTGTACGGAAGTTTGAGCAGTCTTTCGCATTTCCCTTTTTTGGTATGGGGATATAAGTTGATTTTTTCCAGTCTGATGGCCATTCTTGTGTTTTCCATATTTGCTGGCAAATGGCATGCATCACCTTGACAGCATCATCTTTGAAGATTTTAAACAGTTCAGCTGGGATCCCGTCTCCTGCTGCCTTGTTGTTAGCAATGCTTCTTAAGGCCCATTCAACCTCACTCCTCAGGATGTCTGGTTCTAATTCATTCACCACACCGTCAAAACTATCCTCAATATTATTATCCTTCCTATACAGATATTCTGTATAGTCTCGCCACCTTCTCTTGATCTCTTCAGCTTCTGTTAGGTCCCTGCCATCTTTGTTTCTTATCATACCAATTTTTGCCTGAAATTTACCTCCAATGTTTCTAATTTTCTGGAAGAGGTCTCTTGTCCTTCCTATTCTGTTGTCTTCTTCCACTTCCATGCATTGCTTATTTAAAAATAGTTCCTTATCTCTTCTGGCTAACCTCTGGAATTGCGCATTTAACTGCGCATATCTCCCCTTATCCCTGTTTCCTTTTGCTTTCCTCCTTTCTTGGGCTACTTCCAGTGTCTCAGCAGACAACCATTTTGCCTTCTTGGTTTTCTTTTTCTTTGGGACGTACTTTGTTGCTGCCTCCTGAACAATGTCTCGGACTTCTGTCCATAGTTCTTCTGGGACTCTGTTTACTAAATCTAGTCCTTCAAATCTGTTCTTCACTTCCACTGTATATTCGCTAGGAATGTTAGTGAGATCATATCTAACTGGTCTGTGTATTTTCCCTGATCGCTTTAGTTTTATTCTAAATTGTGCAATAAGAAGTTCGTGATCCGAGCTACAGTCAGCCCCAGGTCTTGTTTTCACCGACTGGATGGATGTCCGCCACCTTTGGCTGCAAAGGATGTAGTCAATCTGATTTCGGTGTTGACCATCGGTGAGGTCCATGTGTAAAGCCGTCTTTTAGGTTGTTGGAAGAGAGTATTCGTTATACAGCGAGTTTTCCTGGCAAAATTCTATCAGCCTGCGTCCCGCTTCATTTTGTTCTCCCAGACCATGCTTGCCTGTGATCCCAGTTGTCATTTGACTTCCCACCTTGGCATTCCAGTCTCCTGTAATGAAAATAATGTTTCTTTTTGGTGTATTATCCAGTAGGTCCTGCAGATCCTCATAGAACTGATCTACTTCTGCTTCTTCAGCAGCTGTGGTTGGGGCGTATATTTGGATCACTGTAATGTTGAAAGGCTTTCCTTGCACTCGAATTGAGATCATTCTGTCGTTTTTTGGGTTGTATCCAAGCACTGCTTTAGCGAATTTCGTATTAATTATGAAGGCTACTCCATTTCTTATTTTTTATTTATATATTTTTTTGTTTTTTTGTTTTTTTTTTGTTTTTTTTTTTATTTTTTTTTTTTGTTTTTTGTTTTTTTTTTTTATGTTGTGGGGCTTTTTTTTTTTTTGGAGGGGGGGCTTTTTTTTTTTATTTTTTTTTTTTTTTTTTTTTTGGGGGGGGGGGGGGGGCTTTTTTTTTAGGTTAGTTTAGCCTTTTTTTTTTTTGTTTTTTTTTCTTTTTTTTTTTTTTTCTTTTTTAATTTTTTTTTTTTTTTTTTTTTTTTTTTTTTTTTTTTTTTTTTTTTTCTTTTTTTTTTTTTTTTTTTTATTTTTTTTTTTTTTTTTTTTTTTTTTTTTTTTTTTTTTTTTTTTTTTTTTTTTTTTTTTTTTTTTTTTTTTTTTTTTTTTTTTTTTTTTTTTTTTTTTTTTTTTTTTTTTTTTTTTTTTTTTTTCTTTTTTTTTTTTTTTCCAAGCACCGCTGTAGCGAATTTCTTATTAATTATGAAGGCTACTCCATTTCTTCGATGTTCCTCTTGTCCGCAGTAGTAGATCTGGTGATCATCTGATGTGAAGTGGCCCATTCCAGTCCATTTCAGTTCGCTGACCCCCAGAATGTCTATCTTTAGTCTTGACATCTCACCAATAACAACATCCAATTTGCCCTGGCTCATAGATCTTAAATTCCAGGTTCCTATGGTGTGTTGATCTTTAGAGCATAGGATTCGTCGTTCACCTCCAGTACCGTCGGCCGCTAGCCTTCCTTTCGGCTTTGAGCTAGCTGCGTCATCACATCTGGGGCTAGTTGAACTTATCCTATGCTCCTCCCCAGTAGCATTTTGGCCATCTTCCGACCTGGGAGTCCCATCTTCCAATGGCATACCGACATATCTCTGGTTGTACTGGTCCATTTAGTTTTCTTGGCAAGGATACTGGAGTGGTTTGCATTGCCTTCCCCAGGGATCACGCTTGGTCTGACCTCTCTGCCACAACCGTCCCGTCTTGGGTGTCCCTTCACGGTTTCGCTCATGACATCATTGAGGTGCTCAAGCTCCAGCGCCCCGACAAGGCGGTGATCCTTTGCTGGAGATTATCTGAATTGTGGATTATCTGCCTTTATATTCGGGGTTATATGGCTGTGTGAAAGGGACCTAGATATCCCTTTGAACCAGAAAGCCCATCAAATCTTATTGCAAGCAAAAAAGAAAATACAGCTCACCATTGCAATGTATTTGCTATCATGAATTTGTAAAACACAACAAAAGCTTGTAAGATAGTAACATAATGCCAACCTGCAGATCTAAACAAGGTTTCACACACCAGCATCTCCCCAGGTCCCCACGAAAAGCATAACTGTTTCTTGTCTGAGTTTACTCCAGGAATCAGCTGTTTTTCAAAGAAAATGAGAGGATAGCACAGGGAAACATAATGACATAGGATATTTACATACAAAAATATACAAAATATACAAAAATATACAAGTACTGGAAATACATACACGGTGGAAACAAAATTAGAAAAGAGGGAAGTACTGTGGTGGCACAGCGGGTTAAACAACTGAGTGGCTGAACTTGCTGACCGAAAGGTTGCAGGTTCGAATCTGGGGAGTGGGGTAAGCTCCCACTGTAAGCCCCAGCTTCTTCATGATGATGGTGGTTGTTGTTGTTGAAGGAGGAAGCCTCCTGGAAGGCTAATGGCTCCAACAGTTTCCCACTACTGTAGATGCAGACATTTACAAGGCTAGCTGGCACAAGCACACACAGGTCTGAATTAAACTAACTTAATTTATGAAGGGAAACATTTATATCCCAACATAAAATTATTTTCCTGTCATTCACTATCTGCCTTGGGGTATGGTGGAAGCTCCTTTTTGGTGGCTATTTGTCAGGGATATTTTGATTGTGCTTTTCCTACATGGGAGGGGGTTGGACTAGATGACCCATGCGGTCTCTTCCAACTCTATCTTTCTATGATTATATTAAACTGTGTCCATCATAGTACTGATGTTGTTTGACAGCACTATAACTGCTCTGGCTCAATGCCAGGGAGTCCTGGGAGTTGTAGCTTTACAAGGCCTCCAGCCTTCTCTGCCAAAGAGGACTGGTGCATCAGCAAACTACAATTCCCAGGATCCCACAGCATTGAGCCTTGGCAGTCAAAGTGGTGTCAAACTGCCTGAACTCTACAGTGTAGATGCATCCATTATTTCTTCTGTTGTTACTGTGAAAGGGCCCCTTGGTGGCACAGCAGGTTAAGCCACTGAGCAGCTGAACTTGCTGACCAAAAGGTTGGTGTTTCAAATCCAGGGAGCGGGGTGAGCTCCCACGTTTAAGCCCAGCTTCTGCCAACCTAGCAGTCTGAAAACATGCAAATATGAGTAGATCAATAGGTACTGCTTCGACAGGAGTCATGCTGACCTTGGAGGCATCTATGGACAACGCCTGCTCTTTGGTTTAGAAATGGAGATGAGCACCACCCCCAGAGTTGGACACGACTAGGCTTTATGTCAGGGGAAAACTTTTACCTTTACCTTACCATGAAATTTCCAATGCATCATAATTGCCTGCCACATTTCATGAGTGATTACTTGCTTGTTGTGTGAGTGATCCTTTGATTCCCTTTCCCAATTGTCAGGGTTTAGAAGGATATTCCAAAGTTGGGAGTATCTTGGTTTTGTCCTCATTTCATCCCTTGAGTCAGCATGAAACATTCCTATCAATTCATTGTTACTTCAACTATTAATATTAGTATTGTTATCATTTTCAGCCCAGAAGTTTCCTTAAAAACTCTGTCTCAAAGGGGATCTATACCACAGAATTTAATGCAGTTTGACATGACTTCAACTGCCATGGCTCAGTGCTATGGCAACCCTGGGATTTGTAGTTTGGGGAGGCCCCAGCACTGTTCGGCAGAGGCGGCTAAAGACCCTAAGAAACTACACTTCCCAGGATTCCACAGCAGTGACACGCCCGTTAAAGTGGTGTCCGACTGCATGCACTTATCCCGCAGGCCCCGCTCCGCACCGTGACCGTGGGCTCCTCGTCCACCTCCTCCATCGCTCTCCTTCCCGGCCGCCTGCCTTCGCGCTTCTCCGCCGCTCAAGCCTTCCTCCCTCTCGCGAGGAGGCTTGGAAAGCAGCCAGCCAATCGCCGTCCTTCCCGGTCAGCCGCGCGCACATTGACGTAAGGACGTTCTCCGCCGCGCAAGCGCATGCTTCCCTCTCCCCGTTCCTGCCCAGAGAGGTAGGAAAAAATATAGAGCTATTCACACTATTCCGTTGATATTCCCCTTCTTTCTTCCTCGGGGAGGTGTGACCGTATAAAGATATGGACCCTTTCTTTCCCCGCCGTTGAGGCTGTCTTCCAAATTGCCTGTAAGAATTATACTTCTCAAATTCTTGAAACGAAGTTCCCAAGGCTAATTTTCTCCTCATACCGTGAAAAACAGGAGAAGGGGAACCGGCACGGTCCCTTCTAAAATAGCTTCGGTTCGATACATGCAGTTCCTTAGAATCAGGCACTCGGCTAGTCGACAAAATAAAAGGACCCCCACCTTTTATTCAGAAAGCTGCATGTAATGCTCATTTCAAGATCGGTCCATCTGTATCTCTAGAGCAGTGGTTCTCAACCTGTAGGTCCCCAGGTGTTTTGGCCTGCAACTCCCAGAAATCCCAGCCAATTTATCACCTGTTAGGATTTCAGGGAGTTGAAGGCCAAAACACCTGGGGACCCACAGGTTGAGAACCACTGGACTAGAGGGTCCCCAGGCAGCAACCAGCCAAGCTTTGAAGCTGCAAGGCCATTAAATTATCATTGGTCTTGCAGCCACTGAATTCTACGCATGCCATGAGTTGCCAAAAAGCCGATTTCATGGGCAAATCAAGTCTGAACTCTCCAGAAGTCAAGACGACTGAACACGCTGAATATCGTAAAGGCAGCAGATCCTGTCTGATGTTGACTTACTTTCCTGATTTCAGAGTTTTTTTTAATACTGGTAGTCAGATCTTGCTCCAGCAAAGGATCACCGCCTTGTCGGGGCGCTGGAGCTTGAGCACCTCAATGATGTCATGAGCGAAACCGTGAAGGGACACCCAAGACGGGACGGTTGTGGCAGAGAGGTCAGACCAAGCGTGATCCCTGGGGAAGGCAATGGCAAACCACTCCAGTATCCTTGCCAAGAAAACTAAATGGACCAGTACAACCAGAGATATGTCGGTATGCCATTGTAAGATGGGACTCCCAGGTCGGAAGATGGCCAAAATGCTACTGGGGAGGAGCAGAGGATAAGTTCAACTAGCCCCAGATGTGATGACGCAGCTAGCTCAAAGCCGAAAGGAAGGCTAGCGGCCGACGGTACTGGAGGTGAACGACGAATCCGATGCTCTAAAGATCAACACACCATAGGAACCTGGAATGTAATATCTATGAGCCAGGGCAAATTGGATGTTGTTATTGGCGAGATGTCAAGACTAAAGATAGACATTCTGGGGGTCAGCGAACTGAAATGGACTGGAATGGGCCACTTCACATCAGATGACCACCAGATCTACTACTGCGGACAAGAGGAACATCGAAGAAATTGAGTAGCCTTCATAATTAATAAGAAATTCGCTAAAGCGGTGCTTGGATACAACCCAAAAAATGACAGAATGATCTCAATTCGAGTGCAAGGAAAGCCTTTCAACATTACAGTGATCCAAATATACGCCCCAATCACAGCTGCTGAAGAAGCAGAAGTAGATCAGTTCTATGAGGATCTGCAGAACCTACTGGATAATACACCAAAAAGAGACATTATTTTCATTACAGGAGACTGGAATGCCAAGGTGGGAAGTCAAATGACAACTGGGATCACAGGCAAGCATGGTCTGGGAGAACAAAATGAAGCGGGACGCAGGCTGATAGAATTTTGCCAGGAAAACTCGCTGTGTATAACAAACACTCTCTTCCAACAACCTAAAAGACGGCTTTACACATGGACTTCACCAGATGGTCAGCACCGAAATCAGATTGACTACATCCTTTGCAGCCAAAGGTGGCGGACATCCATCCAGTCGGTGAAAACAAGACCTGGGGCTGACTGTAGTTCAGATCACAAACTTCTTATTGCCTAATTTAGAATAAAACTAAAGAGATCAGGGAAAATACACAGACCAGTTAGATATGATCTCACTAACATTCCTAGCAAATATACAGTGGAAGTGAAGAACAGATTTGAAGGACTAGATTTAATAAACAGAGTCCCAGAAGAACTATGGACAGAAGTCCAAGACATTGTTCAGGAGGCGGCAACAAAGTACTCCCCAAAGAAAAAGAAAACCAAGAAGGCAAAATGGATGTCTGCTGAGACACTGGAAGTAGCCCAAGAAAGGAGGAAAGCAAAAGGAAACAGGGATAAGGGGAGATATGCCCAGTTAAATGCGCAATTCCAGAGGTTAGCCAGAAGAGATAAGGAACTATTTTTAAATAAGCAATGCATGGAAGTGGAAGAAGACAACAGAATAGGAAGGACAAGAGACCTTTTCCAGAAAATTAGAAACATTGGAGGTAAATTTCAGGCAAAAATTGGTATGATAAGAAACAAAGATGGCAGGGACCTAACAGAAGCTGAAGAGATCAAGAGAAGGTGGCGAGACTATACAGAAGATCTGTATAGGAAGGATAATATTGAGGATAGTTTTGACGGTGTGGTGAATGAATTAGAACCAGACATCCTGAGGAGTGAGGTTGAATGGGCCTTAAGAAGCATTGCTAAAAACAAGGCAGCAGGAGACGACGGGATCCCAGCTGAACTGTTTAAAATCTTAAAAGATGATGCTGTCAAGGTGATGCATGCCATTTGCCAGCAAATATGGAAAACACAAGAATGGCCATCAGACTGGAAAAAATCAACTTATATCCCCATACCAAAAAAGGGAAATGCGAAAGACTGCTCAAACTTCCGTACAGTGGCGCTTATTTCTCATGCCAGTAAGGTAATGCTCAAGATCCTGCAAGAAGACTCCAGCAATACATGGAGCGAGAGTTGCCAGATGTTCAAGCTGGGTTTAGAAAAGGTAGAGGAACGAGAGACCAGATTGCCAATATCCGCTGGATAATGGAGAAAGGCAGGGAGTTTCAGAAAAACATCTACTTCTGCTTCATTGACTATTCTAAAGCCTTTGACTGTGTGGATCATAATAAATTGTGGCAAGTTCTTAGTGGGATGGGCATCCCAAGCCACCTTGTCTCTCTCCTGAGGAATCTGTACAAGGACCAAGTAGCAACAGTAAGACCTGACCATGGAACAACAGAGTGGTTCAAGATTGGGAAAGGCGTACGGCAAGGCTGCATCCTCTCACCCAACCTTTTTAACTTGTATGCAGAACACATCATGCGATGTGCGGGGCTGGATGAATGCAAAGCTGGGGTGAAAATTGCTGGAAGAAACATTAACAACCTCAGATATGCAGATGACACCACTCTGATGGCCGAAAGCGAGAGGAGCTGAGGAGCCTTCTAATCAAGGTGAAAGAAGAAAGCGCAAAAGCCGGGTTGCAGCTAAACGTCAAAAAAACCAAGATTATGGCAACAAGAATGATTGACAACTGGAAAATAGAGGGAGAAACCGTGGAGGCCGTGACAGACTTTGTATTTCTAGGTGCAAAGATTACTGCAGATGCAGACTGTAGCCAGGAAATCAGAAGACGCTTACTTCTTGGGAGGAGAGCAATGTCCAATCTCGATAAAATAGTAAAGAGTAGAGACATCAGAATGGCAACAAAGATCCGCCTAGTCAAAGCCATGGTATTCCCTGTAGTAACCTACGGATGTGAGAGCTGGACCTTAGGGAAGGCTGAGCGAAGGAAGATCGATGCTTTTGAGCTGTGGTGTTGGAGGAAATTTCTGAGAGTGCCTTGGACTGCGAGAAGATCCAACCAGTCCATCCTCCAGGAAATAAAGCCCGACTGCTCACTGGAGGGAAAGATACTAGAGACAAAGTTGAAGTACTTTGGCCACATCATGAGGAGACAGCAAAGCCTAGAGAAGACAATTATGCTGGGGAAAGTGGAAGGCAAAAGGAAGAGGGGCCGACCAAGGGCAAGATGGATGGATGGCATCCTTGAAGTGACTGGACTGACCTTGAGGGAGCTGGGGGTGGTAACGGCCGACAGGGAGCTCTGGTGTGGGCTGGTCCATGAGGTCACGAAGAGTGGGAGACGACTGAACAAATGAACAACAACAAAGTCAGATCTTGTTCATTTTCGTGGCTATTATCCACATGCTTGTGGATTTCAGTGGCTGCAATGCCATTAAATTATCATTTAATGGCCTTGCAGCTTCAAAGCTTGGCTGGTTGCTGCCTGGGGGATCCTTTGTTGGGAGGTATTAGCTGGCCCTGATTCATTCTTGCCTGAAATTCCCCTGGTTTTTTTTAGTGTTGCTCTTTATTTATTGTCCTGATCCATGTCAGACTACACAGAGCAACACTAAAAACAAACAAACAAACAAACAAAAACGGGAATTCCGAGCAAGAATGAATCAAGGCCAGCTAATACCTCCCAAGATAGGATCCCCCAGGCAGCAACCAGCTAAGCTTTGAAGCTGCAGGGCCATTAAATAATTAAGGTGGCCAATTGCAGCATTCACACTGGCCTCAAACAGACAAGAGTTCTTTCTCCCACCCTGGACACTCCACAGATATATAAACTTCACTTGCCTAATTTCCAATAGACGTCATAGCTGCTGAGGATGCCTGCCATAGACGTGGGCAAAATTTCAGAAGGGAATGCTTCTGGAACATGGCCATACAGCCTGGAAAACTCACAGCAACCCAGTGATTCTGACCATTAAAGCCTTTGACAACACAAAGTAAATATAATAAGTATCTGAAGATTGCTTCATAAGGCAAAATCTCACAGGAAGAGGATTTTGCTACAGGCGGTTGCTAATGAAACACCTCCGGTCTGCATGATCGGAGTCCAGTTGCCTCCCTCATTAGAAACCATATCCTAAATTATTTTTTCTGTCTTTGTAGTAACTTAAAACTTAAGTCAACCATTCAGAAATACCGTAGATTTTAAAGCATTAAAGGAAAAGATAATGCAAACTCAGTAAATTCACTGATGGGTGTATAAATATTGTTGTTATTGTTAACTCAGTACATTTAAGAA